ACTGCATATCCAAGAAAAATGCCACGATCGACGTGGCGTTTCGAGGCCTCCATCAATTGGTGGATTGAGAGTGGCTGGAATATATTTCACTGCAAAACAATTTCACCTCTTTTGCAGTTCAATTTCGCCGATTAAAATACAACAAAATCCAAATCGTAAGAGGAGTCAGACACGGGGGGTGGGGGGGGCATCTCTTGTTGGCTTCTCACACACCAGGGCGTAGTGGCTGGCGCTAGGCGCGGTGCAGACGAAGCTTCTTCCCACGTGCAGAGGAATGCGCGTTGGTGAGCGAGGGGCCCTCGGTTTGCGTTAGAGACCTCGGCTCTGAGACAAGGTGGTGGGGGGTGGGAGGGGGACCTCAAAGTCTGCCCCCTCTTGCTGCTCTGCCAGGAATGCGGGCAGGCCGGTGCCGGCCCTGGGACAAAGGAGGGCGGCTGTGAATGGATGGATGTCACAGCGGGGGTGTACGAGTTGGTCTGCCCTCTCGGCACCACTCACCTCGACAGAGATGAGGACTCAACAATTATTTTTTTTTAAATAATCCTCCTACGTATAATGGGGGGATTTGATCTGTCCACTGCTGGATGAAGGCCTATCTCGCGCCGTCGCCAACCTCTCAACCCCTCCTGCTACAACCATCAAGCCATCGAGCGCCTTTACGCGAACTGATTTGTTTTCGACTTCATGTATAGAAAGGTAAAGTTGCGGTCAGAAGCACGACGCACTACCACGCACGCCCGGCCGCCTTTGTCTCTCCCCCCCCCACCCCCACCCCCCAGTGCTGATGCTTACACATCGCACCTGCTACTCATTAAGGTTGAGTCGGCCTAGGGGAGGCCCACGAATAGTTCTGCTATCACTCGCCACTGATTTTGAGCCGTGACAGTCCATCAAACCATAGTTGGCGGTGTTGACGGTGCGGTGTGCCAACCACTGCACCATCGCTCCTGCAGCTGGCATATTGGTCATAAATATTAGAGTGCCGATGAATACATACGACACACGAGATCAACGTAGCATCTCAACGGGATCTCAATATTGTACCTGGTTAAATAAAGGTACGGTAATGCTTTGGCGCGTGCGTGTGTGTGTGTGTGCGTGTTCACGAACGGTGGCACAGTGGTTAGCGCACTGTTTGACGATTCCTGAACACAGCTAATGTCGGTGGCAAGCGATATCTCAACCAGCCCCGGGTCTCCCCTAGGTCGACTCGGCATCAACACCGGGGAGAGGAACGTGGTCGGATGCCTCTTTGGCCACGCCACCCTCATCGAGCGCTGTGCCAGCCTCAGAAAAAAAAGTGCTCGCTAACGAGCGCTTTGCTCCCAAGGTGCCGTAGCCTACACGGGGGATCTTTGTCTTTGTTAGAAGCACCGGAGTCGATTGTCGGCGTGTTGTAATTGGCCAAAGAGGCGCTCTGTGATTTGTCGCCACCATGTGGCTCCAAGTGCGGTCGTCAAGACGTCGTGAACGTCTCAACAATTTCGCCCCTTCCGAGGAACGGACGGTGGACACGAAATCAGAACCTCACCGCTACTCCGGTTTCTCACAACGTAGAGTGTCTCACGGCCGTGCAATGAATTCGCACGTGTGTTGGCGTCCTACCCCGTGTTGTAAATATCTCACTCGGCCCCGATGTTCTGCAGTGAACTGGCAGCTGCCGCTTACCGATGATGGTTCGGGTCTTTGTGCAAGGGTCGGGTTCCGCAAAACGTTACAAATCCATCTGCATGGCCTTTGAGACACGAAACATGAAGAAAAGTCGTGGGTCTCAAGGATATGCAAGGGCTAATCCTTGAGAACTGGACGCGTGTGAGTGGGTGGAAGGGGGGCGGAGGGAGAGGAGGGGAGTGGTGCTGGCCCCCTCGTGTGCAGTGCCAACCTTCATAGGTGCTTTTCGATTTAAAGCTTTCGTGACTGCAGGGATTCATCTTCTTGGTTCTTTCGGTAAAGTCACGTAGAATGGAAATAATAAAATAATAAAAAGAAAACATAAAACATATTATTGTATAATATTATTATATTATTTTATTATGTTGTATTTTTATTATTTTATTACTTCCATTCTACGTGACTTTACCGAAAGAACCAAGAAGATTGATAGGTGCTACTCGCTAACTGCACTTGCCCCCAAGAACATGTTGAGGCTATACGGGGGATCTTTGCCTTTGGTGGTAGTGGTCGTACCACGATCCCTCTTCGACACAATGCAGTTACTGGTCACCTGTCTGAGACCACCAACTCTCCTGGAGTCCATGGGCCAGGCCGCGTATCAGTGCCGCCTGAGAGGGCATGGCAACAGTCGTGTCCAGTTCCTTAATGTGGCCAATAAGAGGCGAAATGTTAACTACCTCGCCTGGTATACAGGAGGTCGTAGGTTCGCTCTCGACCCTGACGCCTGCTGCTGCTGCTGTATATTTGGAGGTTGTCTCGCTCTCCGTGGTCTCGTGGATTTTTTCTCCGGGTCTGCCGGTTTTTCCCTCCACATTTTAGAAACGTGCGTTTAGAGTATTTGGATGTAGATTTGAAGTTTTCGTGACTGCAGGGATCCATACTCTTTGGTTCTTTCGGTAAAGTCACGTACGTGTAAAATTAAATTAAATCACGACGTTTCGGGCGCAACACGAGCGAGTCCGTTATCAGGTGGGACAACCACAGCAAGAAACAATTGCTGAATTCATTGTTTCTTGCTGAATTCATTGTTTCTTGCTGAATTCATTGTTTCTTGCTGAAGTAATTGTTTTTTGCTGTGGTTGTCCCACCTGATGACAGACGCTTGTGTTGCGCCCGAAACGTGGTGATTTAATTTTATTTTATACCTACGTGACTTTACCGAAAGAGCCGAAGACTAGTATTTGGATGCTATACATTTCCACATGTTAAGCCACTTCGTAGAGCTGTTATTTGTGATTGGCAGGTCGCTTCTAAAAAAAGCTATATATCTCAGTGGGCATTACCTGATCAAATAAAAAATGTCATAGTTTTAGTTTCATTTGAAACGAGTGGATTATCAAACAATTAAACTCTCAGCCATACAAATAACGCGGTAAAACTAAAGTTGTGTAAACTTAGGTGGTCCCACCAGAGGTCGCAAATGGGTCTTGATTCCTTACCCGTACCCGGCCGCACCAGGGTCGCAATCGGGTACCCGATTGCGACCTCTGGGATGAAGCCATGTTGCAGGCGCGGGTGGGTTGATTCTAGGAACTTGAATTGTGAGAAGAGACAAGACGTTGAGAAATGAGTGACAAACAGTTACTCACCAGTGACTCACAGTCTACCCGTACCCGTACCCGGCCGCACCAGGGTCGCAAACGGCTACCCGTACCCGGCCGGGTACTGGTAGCCGGGTATCGGGTAGGGTACGGGTATCGGGTACCCGGTTGCGACCTCTGGGTCCCACGGAGGACTACACTGGGAGACCAGGATTAGTAGCAGCTGCCTGGACTCGAACCCAGGTTCCTCTCAGTGGCCTGACCTCTGAGCCAGCCGGCCGGCCACCTACTAAGCCGTCTACTGTCTCTCGTTGTCATTAAACATTGCGTTACTCTGAACATGGTAACGTCGTCATGGCATCATCGCCATCACCATGGGATTTTCATCACCACCGACCATCCCATTCCCTCCCTCCTATCTCACTAAACTATCCTATCCCAACAAACTTTTTCATAGTTTGTAGTCCTTCCCCCGCACCTCCTGCGTACGGTGCAAAAGAAGTTCAACATACAATACATGTCCTCCCTACATCTCATCCTCCTTAGCTCCTTCTCACCCTCCCCCCCTACATCTTATCCCCTCCATCCCTCCCTCAATCACATCCCCTAACCTCCTTCTCATCCCCCCCTCTCCATCACATCCCCTAACCTCCTTCTCATCCCCCCCTCTCCATCACATCCCCTAACCTCCTTCTCATCCCCCCCTCTCCATCACATCCCCTAACCTCCTTCTCATCCCCCCCTCTCCATCACATCCCCTAACCTCCTTCTCATCCCTCCCTCTCCATCACATCCCCTAACCTCCTTCTCATCCCCCCCTCTCCATCACATCCCCTAACCTCCTTCTCATCCCTCCCTCTCCATCACATCCCCTAACCTCCTTCTCATCCCTCCCTCTCCATCACATCCCCGAACCTCCTTCTCATCCCCCCCTCTCCATCACATTCCCTAACCTCCTTCTCATCCCTCCCTCTCCATCACATCCCCTAACCTCCTTCTCATCCCCCCCTCTCCATCACATCCCCTAACCTCCTTCTCATCCCCCCCTCTCCATCACATCCCCTAACCTCCTTCTCATCCCACCCTCTCCATCACATCCCCTAACCTTCTCATCCCCCCCTCTCCATCACATCCCCTAACCTCCTTCTCATCCCCCCCTCTCCATCACATCCCCTAACCTCTTTCTCATCCCCCCCTCTCCATCACATCCCCTAACCTCCTTCTCATCCCCCCCTCTCTCAATCTTAACCCCCACCCCACTCCTATCATCCATCTCATTCCCTGCCACCATCCCCCAGCCCTCTCCCCTCTCTCCCGTCACGTCCCCGTGTCCCCCCTCCAATCCCACAACCTCCCCATCCTCTTCCCCGTCTCGTCCCCGCGTCCTCCCCCTCCCGCGTGCGCTCCACGCGATGATCCGATCCGCGCGATGATTTGATCCGAGGCGCGCGCATCGCACCATGACGCCACTGCGCGTCCTGCGGTCTGCCGGACATCACCACCACCACCACCAGCAGCAGCAGCAACATCGTCTCCAGCTGCCACCACAGATGGGAGGACATCTCGAGCGGTGAAGACAACAGACTCGACGAGTGCGCTGGAACATGATGTTAATGACAAAGGGGCCGTGCCGTCGACACGAAGGCGAGTTTCATGCAATGTCAACGAACGCCCCTGTGTGTGTGTCTGTCTCGTGTGGTGGCGGTGTTGTGCGGGGTTAATCTAGTTTAGCGCGATTGTAGAGAACAAAACAGCGCGATTCGCATGGGAGGGGGGGAGGGGGTGATGAGTGGATCGGTGGTGGTGGTGGTGGGGGGGGAGCGGTGGCGCTGTGGTTAGCGCAGCGGGCGGTCACGGACCCAGCCAGCAGAGGCCGCCTCGAGGTCTCCGTCCGTGAAAGCGTCGATCCCTTCCGAGGGACAACTGGCAGCGACCAGCGTGGTGAAGTATGGTCAAACGACCCCTTGCGAGACGGACGCGGCGTGGGGAGTTTGATTGACAACACAAAACGGGTGGGTGGGGGTGTTTAAAGTGTGCGCTACTGGCAATGAAACATTTGCAAGGTTGAATACCAAAGTAAACGATGGTCCGTGTGTAACAACTAAGAGGAGTCCGTGGTTTGTAAAGCCGCCTCGAGGTGCACCAGGCACAGGAAGAGGTACAGTACACGCGGGGCTACGACTTGTTGAGGTTCGTGTTCGTTTGACGTCGCGGCAACGTTGCAGCAACGTTCGCCCGTAGAGTAGTGGCGACACCCTGTGGCTGCAACTCGTAATAGCGACACAATTACATTTCGATTTAAAGCTTTCGTGACTGCAGGGATTCATCTTCTTGGTTCTTTCGGTAAAGTCACGTAGAAGGGAAGTAATAAAATAATAAAAATAAAACATAATAAAATAATTTTATTTATATAAATAATTTTATTTCATTATGTTTTATTTTTATTCTTTTATTACTTCCCTTCTACGTGACTTTGCCGAAAGAACCTAGAAGAGCGACACATTTCTTAGGTTGTTTCGGTAAAGTCGCGTAGGTAAAAAATTTAAATTAATAAAAGTAAAAAATATATATTTTTTTATTTTACTTTTATTAATTTTATTTTTTTACCTACGTGACTTTACCGAAAAAACCTAAGAATATGAATCCTTGCAGTCACGAAAGCTTCAAATCTAGAATTAACGACACAATGGTGGGACCTCTGTTGTTGTTGTTTGCCGATATCAAATGTTTGGAGCTGAGCTATGGAATGAATTCTCGGGATACGCGTGGCATTACCCCTGTACTGTTCGCCTTTCGGAGTTCTCTGGCCTGACGCTGGTAGTGAGACTCGGCCATGAAGAGCAAGGCTGTGTTTGGTGTGTAGGACAGTCTCAAAGACAATGCCATATATTCCAGTGTTCCTGGGTACTAAGTGTTATTTTATAATTGCTTATGTCTCAAAAGTACAGAAAATTGTTATTGTTCCCCACCAACTTTGCTTTTGTGACCAGGACAGTGATATTTTCAAATGTACCTATTTTTCAATGAGAAAACGCGGTGTGCTTTTGTGTCATTCCTTCACATAAAGTCCTGGTCACAAAAGCAAAGTTTGTGGGGAATAATAGCCATTGTTTGTACTTTTGAGGCATAAGCAATTATAAAATAACACTTACTACCCAGGAACAAAAATCGTGTTGCATCGTGTTAACAGAGCATGTTATTTGCTTGTATGTTCACCACCAAGTACTGGTGTGGTTAATGCAGACTTGATTACTTTAAAGTGGTTTCTATTTGGTGTTTGAACATCTTGACACCTCCTGTTTTATTATTTCCAGAAAGGGTAAAACCTGTTCTTGTTTTTTTCATAGGTCGAGTGAGGAGAGGCGTCTTATCAACCGGTGTGTGTGTGTGTGCTCAGGTCTAGGTCGACTCAGCCTCAAACGCGTTACCTGGGGTGCGTGTTACTTTCCGCAGCGTCTTATAATCTGGAAAATTCGCTGGGTTTTTTTGTTCACTAGCGTCACAAGGTCATACGTGTCGTGGATTCTCTCTTTCTCTCGTTATCACACTCTTGTTTGTATTTCTCGTTTCGTCTTATTTTTTTTCAAGCATGTCACGTTAGCGTAACATCTTTGCAGAGTTGGACTTGAGATAAGTACGCGTAAAGTAAAAAAAAAGATGTGCCACAAGTTTGGAAAAATAAATAATAACAGCAACGACCATTGAAGGGGCCACAATTTGAATGCCACTATGGAAATCAAGTTGATGTTGTTATTTCTCAGAGCTGGAATATTTGCCAATTAAGTGCAGAACCAACTTGCCAGCTCAGCACTGTGACCTCTTGAGCCACCGGGCCTTCCTTCCCTCTGCTCATTTTTTCCCTCCAACTTAAATTTTCGCAGGGAAGCTTCCACTCGGGGAATGTCCGTCGCACATTTTTGTCAAATATTCTTGGCCGAGCAAACACCGCCACGGATATTGAGCCTGTACCGGTGAAGGACACAGATTCAGACGCCCTCACATTCCGTTCCCGACACCCAGGGCTGATTTTCTCACTGGAACACGCTGGTCGACTAGAGAAAGCGGCACGTATGTTGTATGTTTGTATGTAAATTGAACTTCTTTCGCACCGTATGTAGCCAAGCGTGCTAATCGGAGACACGTGAGTAGACATACTGGACGTGTTGCGCTTGGCATGGAAATATCCCAGTCACCGACCGTGCAAATATTAAATCAATCCCTGCCGATACCCATTGTGTGGTGTGGTGAGCAGCGTGAGCAGCGAGATGCCGAGCACGGGGTCACAAGGTCACGGCGGCTACGGTGGTCTCGGGGGCAGCACCGGGGGCAGCAGTGGGAGTGAGCGGACTCCCCGGAGCCGTCGCAGGACGCCCCACCGGGGATCGGATCCCCTCGCCGGGGGACCCTCGGCGTCCCCTGTCGTGGTGCAGGGGTCCCTGCGCCACTCGGTGACCCCGCTGCCGGCCCCGGAGCGCGCTCTGTGCCTGCTGATCGCCATCGCTGGGCACGCGTACGCCTTCTACATCGTCCACCTGGTGTCTCGTGGTGATTAACGTCGGCGGCGTCGTCGGCGTCGTTGATCATCTTCACGATCCGTCGTTGTGATTGTCGTCGTTACAGCAGTCATTATACATCCACCGTCATAATTTTCAGCAGCTTTGTTATCGTCGTTAACAGTATTCAAATCCCAATGGTTGAGCGGTGGTGCAGTGGTTCGCGGACTGTCCTATGAGCTCGTTGACCTGAGTTTGATTCCCAGCCACGGCTGACATCAGCGGAGTGTGTTATCTAAAAACCGGTCCCCGATGGAGTACGGCCAAAGAACTGCCATGACCGACACAGACTGGAGGTAGCCTTCGGTCGACAGTGTTTTGACACAGGGATGTCAATTATTTACGCGTCATTTTTAAACAACGAATACAATCAATATTCTCAACGAGACTTGTCATTCCTTTTCAGAGCACGAGGAGGAATTGCACGCCGAGTTTGAGCTGGAGAAGGGATTTTTCGTGTGGGGATTCAAGAAGGCAAGTACGTGCGAGCGTGTGTGTGCGAGTGCAACCCATGGCTATGTGCTTGCATGCACGTACGTCCTGCCTTTTAGGCCCGGGGTGAACTACAACAATAATACCATTCATCTCGACAAAACCTCACTGTACTATGCTAACTCTGCTGACCACCATTACCCTTGCCATGTCGCCGTTGCTGGCCCAGGACTCCACGGACTTTGAGTGGACGTTCTGGTCTCACTGGGCCTCGTCGAGGCTGCTCTGGATGCTGCTGGGCCACGTACTGCTCTCTCAGCTCTTCTCACACTCAGTCCCGCAGGTTCCCTCAACAGCTCTGCCTCGTTGTGCTGCTGCTGCTGCAGCTGCTGCTGTTGCTGCAGCTGCTGCTGCAGTTGCTGCTGCAGTTGCTGCTGCTGCTGCAGTTGCTACAGTTGCTGCTGCAGTTTCTGCTGCTGCAGTTGCTACAGTTGGTGCCGCCGGGTACGGATAGGGTACGGGTATCGGGTACCTGATTGCGACTTCTGGGATGAAGCCATTTTGCAGGCGTGGGTGGGTTGATTCTAGCAACTTGAATTATGAGAAGAGACAAGACGTTGGGAAATGAGTGACAAACAGTTACTCACCAGTGACTCACGGTCTACCCGTACTCGTACCCGGCCGCACCAGGGTCGCAAATGGGTACCCGTACCCGGCCGGGTACGGGTAGCCGGGTATCGGGTAGGGTACGGGTATCGGGTACCCGGTTGCGACCTCTGGCATACGTACATTGTCAGTAGACCCCCCTTACGCAAGCGTACGCAATTTGGGTTAACCTCCACCTCCTCCCCCCTCCATGCGCACTGCACTAAATGGATGGCCCCCTAAAGCTGCTCGTGTCTCTGCCATGCGCCCGCCCCACAGCTGCGCCCGTGGGGCTGGCTGGCGTACGGGCTGGCGTGCTGCGCCGCGCTGCTGGGCACTGGGGGAGCGGCCGTCGTGCTGGCGCACGCGCTCGCCTCGTACGCGGCGGCACAACTTCGCCGGCCGGCGCTCTGCTGGCTCACCAGCCTGGGCCTCCTCGCCGGCCTGCAGGCCGCTCACTGGAGCCACACGCAGGTGAGACGGAGGAGGAGGAGGAGTAGGGGGGGAGGTATTGTTTTAGAATGATCGCCAGAGCTGGGACGAGTCGTCGATGAGGTTGATTGATTGGCTACAAGTTGTGATCGCTCACTGGAGCCACACGCAGGTGAGACGGTGGTGGAGGAGGAGGTGGAGGAGTAGGGGGGGAGGTGGGACGAGTCGTCGATGAGGTTGACTGATTGGCTGCAAGTTGTAATCGACCCCTCTCTTTTTTTGTGGTCGATCACTCAGGGCTGTCTGAAAATGGCGGCCGCCATATCACATATCTGTCAACTCCTTATCAGTGCTCTACCTTATTATAGACCAATTCAGACCTTGTTGGTCACCACGTGCCCTTATAAATCTCAACGTTCATCCTACAAACAAATAGACAAAAATTATTTTGCCTTCAGAGGCTGACTCCTTTGCCTCCTGATGACGACAGCTTGTGTTGCGATCGAAACTGTCGTGATTTATTTTATTTTATTTCTACCTACGTGACTTTACCGAAAGAACCAAAGAGTATAAAAATTATGTTGCTAAAATCATGTTTTTTTTTGCCCGTATTGAAACGGCTGTACGGCGTACGAACCTGAAAACTCACTTTCCCTGTACAAGAATACGGGTGAATTGTATGGGTTGACAGCTATGGGTTGACAGGTATGCCATGACATCCTTCCTCCTGAAGGAAAGAAACCCCCTTGGCGAGCCATGCCCTCGGCTGCAGTCGCTCCACTGAGCAAAGCTGTTTTTAATGTAAGTAATCCCTATATATCTATCACGTATGGCGTGGTTAATTGTGGAAATGGTGATGATATAGTTTCTGATGCAAACATTGAAAGATGACGATGTGGTACTTGTTATTGGAGACTAGAATAACGATGTGCTTGCTGGTGCCCGATGGGAACAGCTAGGACAATTGGAGCTTAATTTCAGCTGGGATCTGTCTGGGTCCGTGACCCAGAAAATATTTCTGTGTCGAGCACAGCACATCATTGACATGCTAATTTCTCTGCTCCAGCAGACCCACCTCTCTCTCTGCCCCACCCCCCCTCTCTCTTTATTTAAAGCCACGACACAGAGGCATTGGGTCTCTGTGTGTCTATGTTGTGTGTGTGTCTCTCTGTGTGTCTCTGTGTTGTCTCTCTCTGCTTGTGTGCATTTCTGTGTCTCTATGTTGTGTCTCTTTCTGTGTGTCTCTGTGTGAGTCTCTGCCTGTGTGTCTGTCTGTGTGTCTCTGTTGTGTTGTCTCTCTCTGTGTGTCTCTGTGTTGTCTTTCTCTGCTTGTGTGCATGTCTGTGTGTCTCTATGTTGTGTGTCTCTTTCTGTGTGTCTCTGTGTGAGTCTCTGCTTGTGTGTCTGTCTGTGTGTCTATGTTATGTGTCTCTCTCTGTGTGTCTCTGTGTAGTCTCTCTCTGCTTGTGTGTCTGTCTGTGCGTCTTCGTGTCTGTGTTTTAGTCTCTCTCTCAAATTTAGTTCTACCTGATGACGACTGCTTGTGTTGCAATCGAAACGTCGTACTCTATTTAATTTATTTTCTTTCTACGTGACTTTACCAAAAGAACCAAAGAGCACAGCACATCCATTGTGGTTCCAGTATGCCACGTCCCCATTTGTGATGTTGCACACCACATCCAGTATACCTTCCATATTTCCATTTGGGAATGTGGCACACCATGAGATTCAGAATCTTTATTCAGTAATCTGTATTTATCCTGGAAAAAAAACAATGAGCTATGAAGCTCATTTTCGCAGATGCCCAGTGAGTTTTCACACATGTCCAGTAGATGCGTCCATCACAAACGGAGGCACGCTCAAAATACGACCGACGATGGAGCCTATGCCAACGTCTCCCCCCCCCGCACCCCAATCAGGGCTGGTACGAGTCCGAGAACGAGTACTTCCTCCTGCTCTTCACGCTCGCCATGACCAACCTGCGCTGCACCAGCTTCAGCCTTGAGCTGTGCCGCCAGGCGGATCCCCCGTGCCCGTCCGTGCCACACCACCCCCGTCCACCAGCGCCTGCGGAGCAGACGGGCCCCTCACCCCTTACTGCAGACCGCTCACCCAGCCACTGGCTCCTCGCTCTTTTGGCCACTGGTCTACACTTTCTACTATCCACCGCTCCACAACGGCCCGATCATGAGCTACTGCGACTTTGTAGCTCGGGTGAGCTGTGTGTGTGTGCACGCGTCCCTTTGTCATTCATCTCACTTCACGTGGCCAGCGGCGAGACGTTGACACTGCACGTGGCCGCAAAGTGCACCTAGCCTGGCACAAGTGCTGTGGTGATGTCATCGTCGCTGAGTGGCGAATGGCGGATGTTGTTGTTGTGTCTCTTTGAGTGTGCCAAGCACACACACACAGATACGGCTGGTGAGTTGCCTGGGTCATATAGCCGGCATGCCCAGCATGCCTTAGTAAATTTTGTTTGGCAATAGAGAGGCATGCGTTGGGCTTAAAAAGGCATGGCGTGGGCTTATATGGTACAGAAGGATGTGGAGCTGAGTGAACTTGCCGAAGACTGGTACTGGTGGTATCAATATTGGCCACTGTGGAGGAGGCTCGTGAAGGATTCTGCGGGGCTGCGGTCGAGTGATTCAAGCACTGTGCTAAGCACCCGGCCACCTGAGTTTGATTCCCGGCCATGAATAACATCAGCAGCCAGTGATTTCCGAATCTATCCTGGCCCTCCACAGGGTCCGCTCAGCATTAAATGAGCACCTGTTGCAATGTTCCAACATCAGTACTCGGAAGACAAGGTTGACCTGGTAACGTCCCGGTCACACCAGCTCCCATCATGCTCGACGCTGGCCTCAATAGCTGCTCTGGAACAGCATTTGTCCCAACATGCTGCATTGCTATCACTGCATCTCTGTCATTCTTGTCTCAGTGTGAGCGGCCGGTGTCTCAGCCGGGCGACGTACGAAGCGGAGGCCCTCAGATGCCCCGACTGCCCCTGCTGCCCCTGCTGCCCCGGCTGCCCCGGCTGTCGTGGCTGGCCGTGCGCGTGGCCGCCTGGTGGGCGCTGGCGGAGCTCATGCTGCACCTCGGCTACTTCTCGGTGCTGCACCAGCACGAGGAGCTGCTCGAGTCCCTGCCCAGCGCCACGCTCGGTACGGACGGCGCCGCGCGGCGGGAGGTGGGAGGCTGTTGTTCAATTTCATTACGACGGCCTACCCTCACGGCATCTCTCACGTCCACTGCGAAGCAGACCGCGCGGTTGTGTTTTTGGACGGTCAACGGATACGCGGGATTAACCAGGGCGGCCGCTGGATTTGAACCGTGATCCACCGCGACAAACGGCGAAGGCGCTACCGCCGGGCCTCGTCGCCGTGGGGGTGGAGGCTCGTGCCCCAGGGCGCACGGTGCTCGCCGCGCCCGCTCGGCGCGAGCGAACGGCGGCCGATAAGATTGTCGCGTGAGGCTCGTTCAAAAGAGTCGTTTCAATTATCGCCAGTGTGCGACGCCTCGGTTGTATTTTGAGGCAAGGATGAGCTTCGCGTGAGGTGGCCAGGAGATGGCAGCGCCAGCGGTGGTTCACGGCTTGCACTGTTACCGCTTCATGCATGGGGTGGGTGTTCTTCCCCGTTCTCCGGTGTCCTCCGACATGAAAGCCGAACGCCAGCAAGTTAGGATTGACCAAACGTCCCACTGGAGCGAGACCCTCCTGTAGACGTGCGCGTCGCTCAGCCCGGCGGCCCGTGTGGTTTGTTGCGTGCGTGCAGCCTGCCTGGCCATCGCCCACGTCAGCTTCTTCTACGTGAAGTACCTGGTGCTGTTCGGGGTGCCCAGCCTCGCCATGCACCTGGACGGCGTCCAACCTCCTCCCCTACCGCGCTGCGTGAGCATCACACACGGCTTCTCCGACATGTGGAGGTGGGACCCGAGCCACCGTCGTCAACACCAAGCCCTCAGCCCGAACCATAACCACACCACCGTCAAGGCCCTTTCCATAACCATGCCCACACCTGCACTGCAACTGCCACAACAGAAGCCCGTTTGTTATTCCACTGCTGGGCGAGGGCCTCCCCCCACACCGTGAGGGTTATGTACTTTGACGCGGGTTTGGTCGAAGGCAGAGGGCACAGACGTGGAAGCATGAGATGGTGGTTACGGGGTTAGAGCGCTGAGTCGGCACTGCTGAGGTCCTGGATTCGAACCCGGGCTGCCACCCATGATGAATGAGGGTTCACAAGCATCGTGAGTTAATGGTCTCAGCCCGGTCACAAATGACCGCACAAAATAAACCACGATATTAAATTTGATTTTGAACTTTAGTTGGCTAAATGCCACCACCGCCTCTTTGAGAATGTAAAATACCAGTTTGACTGTCGTGCAACAAATAATATTTCATAATAATATGATAATTGGCAACAAAACTGACACCTTTTTTACAAGGAGTCATGTTTGCATTGACCACAATACCTGCGGTCGGAATGCAAACAAAAACACAACTCTGATAATGTATGCACTGTGCTTGAAATTGATTGGTTCACACCCGAGAGACAGCTTTTCTTAGAGCCTAGTCTCACATGGTGTAAAAAATATGTCAGTTTTGTTGCCAGATAAAAGGGTAAAAAACCAATTATCATATTTTGCTACTGGCAAAGGAGGTCCCAATAGTGAAACAAGATCTCATTGCAGAGTTTTGTTGAATAGAATTTAAAAAGGCCACGTGAAGACATTTTATGTAGACGTCATGTGACAAATCTCTTCACCTAACTCACAGCCACAACTTGGTTTGAATATATTTTTGTTAAACCTTATAGAACAGTTTATTTTTATGTTTAATGTTGTGATGGCGCTTTGGGTGGCATATTTGTGCCAGAAATGTGCCACACGTTAACCAAAAAGAAATTCACTTGACTCTTCTCCGACACGCACGGGGGGTTTGGGGCACGATGCGCTGCTCTGTGAGATTTCCAAATGGATTCCTCTTCTCGTCCCATGCCACCGATAGCGCAACGGGGATAAACCTGGGGTGGGAAGGCAACATTTTTTAAAGAATCGGCTATTCGTCGTTTCGTTTTCACTTGGCATGCACCGATATCAGCTTCAGAATAAATTGCGGGGGGAGGGGAGAAAGACAAAATTATAATAGTAATTAAATAAAATGCGCACATTCATCAAAACACACCGCACTACACTCACAGAGGTTTACACGCTCGATAAAGTTTACTCTTTGCTGCATGGTGACGGGGAAGTTGTGAGTGTGTGTGAGTGTGTGTGTGTGCGTGTGTGGGTAGTGGTAGTGTAGCGGTTAGCGCGCTGCGCTACTAACCTGGCGACCCAGGTTCGATTCCCGCTCACGGCCAACACCAGTGACGATTATTTGAACTGGTCTTGTGCCTCTCCTGGGTTGACTCAGCCTCAAATGAATACCTGGTGCGATGTGTCAACATCGCCACTGAGGAGACAAAGGCGGTCGGGCTTGGTGCTGGCCACCCACCCCCTCGTGTGCCGTGCCGGCCTTCATAGGTGCTCGCTAACAGCACTTGCCCCTACAGTCTGTTAAGGCTATACGGGGGATCTTTGTCTGAACCTCGATGTCCTTTTCTTCCGTTGTTAAATCCCCCCCCAGGAACTTTGATGTCGGACTTCACAGGTGGCTGCTCAGGTAAGGGGAGCAAAGACGTCGGGACCCTTCCCCTCGGAGCAATTTGAAGTTGTCACCCCGGACGGTGATCCACATTAATCCTCGCCCGCCCACGGACAGATGGATTAAAGCGTGACCATCGGTCTGACCATTAATCACAAACATTCTGTTTACCTTTGCGCTTATGTCTAATAAGACGTTGATTTATGCATCGCTTGCACCGAGAGTATTGTCATCACCATCGTCGCTTTTTTGTTTTCTTCATTGAATGCTTTGTTTGGTCATTTAAATCTGGCTTTGCTTTTCGTGGTAATTAATTTGTTAACTTTCTTCTAATTCCTTTGTCTTTATTTGTCTTGAACTAAATGCTTCCTCAATTGAAGTAATTAATTAATAATGGAATATTTTATTCCTTGACTAATTGCTCTTCCCGTGCTCTCGACTGATTAATTGTGTGCGTTTGAAATGTGCTCGTTTAAGGAATGCTGTTTGTTTAAAGCGTTGCTTTCACTCTTCGGGCTTCTGTAAGTGATCTAAAATCCACAGTTTGTGTTGATGTATGCGAAGTGATGATTCATGTTAGCCGTGGCTGTTTTCGTGTCTGTGTATGTCTTGTGCTAGTGTCTCTAGTGTATGTCTGCGTCTGACAATAGCGTCTCCTTATATTCGTGTGTGTGCAGAGAGAGAGAGGCGTGCCAATATTACTTGTGTCCGTATGTCTCACTCTTTGCCATGTTGGTGTCTTTTTAAAAAAATGTTGTGCAGCTTCGTCTGAATCGCTGTCTCTCTCTCTCTCTCGTGTCTGAGTTTTTCTCTCTTCGTATCTTTGCAGCAACAGTGTCAACGACTACATTGCTTTGTTTGGTGTCTGTCTCTATGTTAACGTCTGTCTCTTTATATATATCTATGCATTTTTGGTGTTATGGTCTGCGCTTCTGCGTCTCTGCGTCTGCATCTCTATGTTGTCTGTTATTGTCTGTGCCTGTGGAGTTTATCTGCATCCCATCTCCGTATCTTTCTCATATATGGGGCGGTGACATGGCCCAATGGGAGCACTTTTTCTGATTGTTTCAGAGGTTCGCAGTTGCTGCCCTGGCTATCACTGCCGGTGCAATATCCACACAACACCCGCCCGTCTGCGTCAGGGTTTACATTAGAGATCCCCTGGCCTCATTTGAAACGAGGAGGCCGTTGCGTGCCGGCGTCATGGCCCAAATTTTCTCCACGTTCCAAAAATGACCCACGAATTGCTCAATTTGGATTTTCACAGAGCAATCATCTCCCCCCCCCCCCCCCCTTCTGTGAAGCCACTGCAGATCCGTGCGCAACACAGCAGCACCTTCCCTTTGCGATAGCCTTGAGCCGTAAGATTTGCACGAACACCGAACGCCTTCAATTATGAATTATCACGTTCCCCCCACCGCTCTTCCCCACCTCGCGTCCACCGTACCTCGCCACCAGTATTCCACAAGCCTCTCGCATCTCGCGCCCGTAGCCCAGAGGTCACAAACGGGTTTTGATTCCTTACCCGTACCCGGCCGCACCAGGGTCACAAACGGGTACTCGTACCCGGCCGGGTACGGGTACCCGTACGTTACCCGTACCCGTACCCTACCCGATATGAGTGACAAACGGTTACTCACCGGTGACTCACGGCCTACCCGTACCCGTACCCGGCCGCACCAGGGTCGCAAACGGGTACCCGTACCCGGCCGGGTGCGGGTAGCCGGGTATCGGGTAGGGTACGGGTATCGGGTACCCAGTTGCGACCTCTGCCGTAGCCCGCGTTTCTGTCCGTCAACCGCTTTTTGCTCACAAAGTCACGTGTGCCCAGGTACGTGTACGTGCCGCTGGGAGGCTCGCAGGGTGGTGCGCTCCGACAGGCCGTCTCGTGCGGCGCCGTCTTCCTCTACGTCTTCTTCTGGCACGGCGCCCAGGCCTACCTGCTGTTCTGGGCCACGCTCAACTGGCTCGGAGTCACCATGGAGACGGGCCTGGGCCGTGCCCTCTCCTCCACTCCCGCAGAGCGACTCTCCCTGGTAGGCTCGCTCGCTCTCTCGGCGGCTTGCGGTTGTGTAGGTTGGCAGTGACATTTCACATTTAGCCCGATAAATAATCCCCCCACCACCATCCTGGCAAAAATTCCAGTAAACACGCAACGGCCCAACGCGTCACGTTTACTGGGCTCCCAGCTTCCACTTATAAATCCCAGTTTTTGAGCTAAGGGGGTGGCAGTTTTAAAAAAAATCTTTTTCTATCCCCATCTTTAGGGACCTCCGCCAAAAAAAACCCGGTTATTCCTGGGGCACGGTAAATCGGCTCGCGCGAGAGATGGTGATGACTTTATGGGGGGTAAAGAGGCCTTCATTCGGACATGGATAGAACTGGCTGGATAGAACGTGGCTGGATAGAACGTGGCTTGCGCGTGTTTGCGTCCGCGTGCGTGTGTGTGCGTGCGTGTGTGTGTGTGCGTGCACGTGTGTGTGCATGCGTGTGCGTGTGTGTGCGTCACAAGGGTGGCCGCCTCTCCCCGCTGGGCCAGCGTCGGCTCCTCGGTGTCATTGCCGGCGCCTCCACGGCGATGGTCATCTTGTCGAACCTCGTGTTCCTAGGCGGCACGGCCGTCGGAGCCGTTTACTGGGACAGGGTTTTCCTCCAAGGTATTGAAATGGGCTACGATGTCTCCCTCCCCCACGCCTTACCCCACCTACCCCCCCTCCCAGCCCCCCCACAGAATATTGCAGATGTGTCAAAAGTCAACCGCTGTGACTGGGGTTGTGGAAAGAGTCTCGTTTTGTCCCACTCCATGTCCGTGTGCCTCTCTCCATGCCTCTGTGTTTGTCTCTTCATCAGTATTCATATCTCCATGTCTGTTTCTCTGTATTCATCTCTCTTTCTCTCTGCGTCTCTCGATCTGTCCGTGTGGGCTGTGTTTAATCTATCCATGTATCTGGCGTCTCTCCCTGTCTGTGTGTGTTGCTCGATTTCCATTTTCCTGTGTTTCTTTGTCTCTCTCTGTATTTGTGTCTGTCCCTGGGTCTCTGTGTTCGCCTTTGTCCATATCTCTTTGACTTTGTGTTTCTCTCCGTTGGTCTCTGTCGCTGAATTTGTTTGTCTAGGTTTCGTGATTCTGACATGCTTTAATGACTATGCCTTTTGTGTACTTGCACGGCACGTGCATTTGATATAGATTTTTGTTTTCGCAGGCTGGCCATGGACAACCCTTGGGGTGCTTTCGTTCCTGTATTGCTGCGCCCAGTTTGGGATGGACTGGGACCAAGCGAAGGTCCCTTAGGGTGGCTCAACTCTTCGCCCCATAAATGTGCACGACTTTACGCACGTAGTGAGTCTTCGATTCGCATCGATTCTTACGCTCGAGGTACGTGCATCGATTCGTGCAAGTAGCAATTGGTCATTTTCGATTTTAAGTTCGTTTTATGTCACCAGTTAACGCGCACCCTGCAGCCACGAAAGATAACCATGACTTAGGTCAATTAATCTGATCACGAGGCAGGGGAATATGTACATGCCTGACCAACGCCCAGAAAACCTCTGCTCAGTTAGACTAAACTATTTAACTCTTCTATTTTTTATTTACCAGATAAGGGCTCACTGAGCTATCATTTTCAGAAGCGACCTGGCCACAAATGATAGCTCAACAAAATGACTTATCGTTTGGACATGTATAGCAGTCAAATTCTCCGAACGCGCGATTCTAAATGTGGAGGGAAAAAACAGAGGACCTGGAGAAAAATCAACACGACCAAGGGGAGAACGTGCATACTCCAAATATACAGCAGCAGGCGTCAGGGTCGGGATTGAACCCACGACCTCCTGCATACCAGGCGAGGTGGTGAACATCTCCTAGCCACTGTGATGATGAAAGAGAGAGAAACGCAAACTCCAACACATACAGCAGTAGGCGTCAGGGTCGGGATTGACCCCACGACCTCCTGTAGACCAGGCGAGGTGGTTAACATCTCCTATCCACTGTGATGATGAGAGAGAGACGCAAACTCCAAATATACAGCAGCAGGCGTCAGGGTCGGGATAGAATCCACGACCTCCTGTATACCAGGCGAGGTAGTTAACATCTCACCACCGTGGCACCCACCAAGAGATCAAGACGGAGCTGCTCCGGTTAGCCGCCTCTCTCAACGGCTTTCCTCACGTCATCAGCGTGCGGGCCTGGTCTCCCCTTTGGCGGTCGCCGATTCCTGTGGCTTGCCTTTCGCCACTGCGGTCCTCTTGGGCTCCGTCATCTGCGCTGGCCATCTCCAAGCCTCCGCCGTCAGCCTCGCGGTTCTATACCAACGGCGTGGGCCCCACCTGGGCCTCCACAACCAGGGGTCGCCTCGTGCACTTTGGGGCTGCGGACGCTGGACCTCGGCTCCCGCGGCGAGCCTGGGGCTGCTCCCGGTGGCGCTCCGTGGCATCCGGTTGCCGGCGCCGCCTGCGGCCTGCGGTAACTCGCACCTGTGCCCGGTGTGCACGACCCCGGCTGGGCCCCCGTGGCCTCTGCTGTTTGTGTCCGCCCCAGGATGGAGCTGCCCCTGCTCTGGCAGCCTCCTTAGCCTGGTGCCTGCCATCGCCCTTCGCTGGCCTGCTGAGGCCTGCCTTCCAGCATGCGCCCAGTTTCTTCGGCTCCGTTCCATTTTGGAGCCCCTCTGCATTGAACATCGGGCAGCTGAACTCACGCTCTGTCACCAAGAAAGCTGCCCTCCTTCACAACCCCATCATAGACTTCTCGCTTTTGAGCTGCTGATCCTGCGAGTATTGAAACAGGCCCGACTACCGTGATGCCGTTGAGTCCATTGTCGCCCCAAATGTGGCTTCAATTTCATACGTGTACGGCGATCATCAGAGCATCATGGAGGAGGCCTCGTCGGAGTCCATAGCGCCGGCATTGCAATTAAGCCTTGCTCTCTTCCGTCCCGGCCAACATCCTTCGACCTTCAGTAGTGCGCCTGTCCAAATGCGGGCAAACCCTTTTCTCCATTTCTCCGTCTTGTACTGTCCACCCGAGGGCAACATGGACCGCTCTCTCAACCTCTTGCTGAAGTAGACCATCTATTGAAGTCGACCATCTATTGAAGTAGACCCATTGCCGAGACTCGATCCTATCCTGCTACAAGCTGGACGTTAACGGCGGCCCAATCGGGACGTCTGGTGCAGACTTCGTAAATCGTAAAATATTCAGATCGTCAATCTGCAGCTCGAGGAAAAGAAAGTGTAACTGCTCTATTCAGTTCCCGAAGAAGCTGCCGGCATGTGCGGTGAAACGTCGGACATCGTTCGCGAACACAACACGCGGCGCAACGCTCAAGCGCATCGGAGAGAAACATGCCAAGATGCAAAAATGAGCAAAAAGAGGGAAAATATACACTTTTATTGAAAATGGATGAACCCGAAAACATAGTTCACATTAAAATTCTGACGCCGATTAGGTAGCGGCTGATTTCAGATGCCATACCATACCGTGTCCGGCTTTCATGATAAAACGCCTGGGTTTGATTCACGATTTTGAAGTGTTTTTACAGCCGCAAGTGCTGGCCGTACCACTGGGCTGTTCAGAGGTTGTAAAACATTCTGGGAAAATGCTACGATCTGTTTGACAGCAGACGCATAGCAACCAAGCTCATAAACCTCAAGACTTGAGAGTAACTCACGCCGCTTACGCTTTGTTAAAGCACCGTTCGTATTTGAGCATTTCAAAACTTCGGTTCGTTTGTTTATTTTGTATAATTTTTTTAAAGTGTTTTCGTTTTTATGTTTTCGTTCTGCACGAAACACATCGTGGTGGTGAGGACATTCGTCGCTTACAAAAAAAACTTGTAAATTTCTAACAATTTTTTTAAATCTCTACAATGTACAAGATTGTTTTAGAAATGGAAGGCATGGCGCAGAACACCAACACTTTGCGGCAGTCGCAAATTTCTTAGAATTGTTTCACAAGACACATTTCTGTGTGATAGTACAGTATGTGTGTGCGCGTGTGTTCAAGCTGTGGGGAGCGGTAGTGTAGTGGTTAGTGCCGCGCTGCACTACGAACAAGGCAACCCAGGTTTCATTCCTGCTCACAACCAACACCAGTGACGATTATCTGAAATGGTCCTGGGTCTCCCCTAGCTCGACTCAGCCTCAAATTAGTACCTGGTGCGGTGTGTAAACATCGCCACTGGAGAGACAAAGGCGGTCGGGCGTGGTGTTGGCCACACCACCCCCTTGTGTGCCGTGCCCGGCCTTCATAGGCGCTCGCTCATAGCACTTGCCCCAATTGTCTGGTAAGGCTATAGGGTGGTCTTTGTATTTGTGTTCAAGCTGGAGCGTGGAGTGGTCGCGCTGTGGTTAGCGCAATGCGCTACGAACACGGCGACCCGAGTCTCGATTCCTGGCCACAGCTAACATCAGTGGCAGGCGATTCCTGGATCTCCCTTCGGTTACTCGCCCTCATATTAGTATCTGATACGATGCGTAAACTATCAGTGCTCAAAGGCAGAGTGTTGCCAGCCACATCACCCGTCCGCCCACCCTACGCACCGTGACAGCCTTAATAGGTGCTCGCTAACATCACTTGTGCCAGTAGTCTGTACGACTATATATTTTGACAGGCTGGTGGTGGGGAGCGGTGGAGTAGTGGTTAATGCACTGCGCGACAAACCGGGCGGACCTGAGTTTTGCTTCCCAGCCACGATTGACATTGGTGTCTGAACTGGTCCTGGTCATCCCGTTTACTGGACCCAGCCTTAAATGAGTACCTGGTGCGATGTGTAAACATCACCACTGGGAAGACAGAGGCAGCCGGGCGTGGTGTCCTGTCCACACCATCCATCTCTTGCGCCGTGCCGGCTTTAACAGGTGCTCGCTAACAGCATTTGCCCCAAGAGACGATGCAGGCAACCTTTGTCTTTCTTGGATATGCCGGTATATACAAGCTGCTTGTGGCCAGGCCCACTGGGTTTATGCTGTTGAAGCTGCTCACAAAGGTGAATTTGGACGTCTGTGTAAAAGATGCCCATCAGATTCCTCCAGTATCAATAAATATTCCGATTAAGGATGAAATTTAGAAACCCAGAGCACGTTTCAATTGCGTGCACAAGTTTTGTACAACGTTGCATTATTTTTTTTATATCATATTCAGAAAAAAGTGAATGATCTATTTTTTTATTAAGAGCTCATTGAAAAAAAAGTGAAAATAAACTTTAAGATAAAATCAAGTAATCTCGTGAATGCTTACTAACGCGCGGGTGTTTCCCCACTCCAAAACGCTCACTTTGATTTCCTGACGCACGGTAACAACAGCAACAAGAATATACACACATTTGTTATTTACACAGGTTTATGAAAAGCTTATAAATACTGCAGGTTTTTTTGGTAATTTACACTTTGCACAGGCCTCGCCGCTTTATGAGTCACATTTGTAACATTTCCACGGTGCATTGACTTGTCATTCGATGTTGAAAGTCAATCCCCTCATTTGCCGACCCGAAGCATTTCGTCAATGTTGCCAGGTTTTAAATTCCTGGGAATTATTAGAAGAAAATATTTTTTTCCACAACATTCCCTCAACAGGATGGCGGTAACAAATCCCTTTTTAGTGGAGGCTCAGGCGAACATGAAGTGGGTGAAGCAATGTCCACACGTGGATCGGGGCGGCAGAGAGGACGAGAGGGGGGACATGAGAGAGAGAGACAATCTTTAACACGTAGGCTTTCGCGACCAATATTAATTCATAATCAACGTTTTTGGGTTTAGATCGCGTTATTTATAAATCGTACTCAAATTGTAAATGTTGTGGTTTCACGCTTCAACACACCGGTGGGCTAAAGCAGTGAACTATTTGTCTTTTGTCAACGTGACACTTTTTTACTGATTGGCCGTGTCGGGTGGTGGAGGGTTACGGCACATTTATAAATAACGCGATCTAAACCCAAAAACGTTGATTATGAAGAGAGACAATGCCCCGCGCGACACAGGAAGACCCGCCAGACACTAAGGAGACACGGATAGTGCCAGACATGGAGACATGGGGACACGGTACACGGACAGGGATATGGAGAGACATTTTTCTGCTCCACCAATGACAGTGCGGCTGCTCACTTATTATTTTATCGATGTCAGTCAAAGGGGTAGCGCCCCAACTTAAAACAATTGCATCGGAACACTTGCCCAGGATTAAGTATGTATAGAACTTCCACCCTCACTGTTAAAGCCACTACTCGCTTTTTAAATAAGTTATCGTTTAAACCAGATGAATGATATAGTATATAAAATAAAGTTGGAGGTGGCGTATCAACGCAGTGATTACCGCACCGAGCCATGAACCCACCATCGTGAGTTCGATTCCCAGTCACGGCTAACATCAGTGGCGAGTGACGTCAGAACCGGGCCAGTGGCCAGAGCAGAGTACGGGCCAGAGAACTTCCATGACCGACGCGGCACGGTAAGGTTTCCATCCAGCAGTGGAGTTGAAAAAAGGGGCTGTAAATGATGACATGAAAAATGTGGATGGTGTGTTAAAGTACTATGCCATTTCTTGATTGCTGCACGTGAATATGTGTGTATGTGTGTGACGTCCTCACTTGCTGTATTTGTAATGTAGTAATCAGGCACTGCATTTAGTAGTGAAGAGCACTGCTATTGGAGAACTGCGAGGCGGCAGGCAATCGGTGAGCACTGCCCAGAGTTGGTCAAAACTCCCCCCGGGCAACTTTTTTAAATATTAAAAACGGCGCCGCTGTCACAGCCGTTTGTGAAACGTCCGTGGGGATATTTTAAAACGTCCTAAACATTCCAATAAATTAAATTACATAGGCAAGAAACTGTACACAACAACAACACCTTTTATTAAACGAGCGCTCGATGTGGGTGCTATTCTTTATCTTTTTAGTAACTAAATTCTCTGAGGTTGTTTACAAACGTCCGGGGTCGTTAACCGCGAGTCCACGGTGGGGCGTGGGGGGCGGTGGGTGTAATGTTGAAGGCAGGCAGGTGGAAGGACGCCCTTGCGAGGATCCCGTCGATGATCCCAGTGACCCCCACACGGCGACGGATGGAGATGCCGCCGTCGGAAAACTCCGGAATGTTTAAGGCAGGCACGTGGAAAGACGCCCTTACGAGGATCATGTCGATAACCCCGGTGACCCCCACACGGCGGCGGATGGATACCCTGCCGTTGGAAAATTCCGGAATGTTTAAGGCAGCAACGTGGAAGGACGCCCTTGCGATGACCCCCCCCCCACCCTACCGTGACCCCCACGCGGTGGCGAATGGAGTCGCCGCCGTCGGAAAATTCCGGGAATACAAAGTGGAGGTACCGGCGGTGGAATCCTTCGAGTGTCATGGCTTCACCTTTTTGGTGGCTCTTAAAACGGGAAGACAAGAGACGGACCGTTAAGAAATGTATTTTTTTGCGAGTGTGGCAAGTTGGACAGAAACTATTTTTTTTTCACCAGGTAAGGCCCACTGAGCTTAATAGCTCTTCTTCAAAAGCGACCCGGCTATCACGTGGTATATTTATTTGCAGATCAGCACGTACATGGCAAGCAAGTTGTTTGATGATGCCATGTTGGCAGTGGTGCACAAGCAGAACAACAAAACTCGACATATCCATCATTCAGCACAGTTGGCTACGTACGGTGAAAAAGAATTTCAACATAAAAACTATAACGCTGCGTGGACTTAAAATAAAAAAAACTATAATGGGTGACGTTTCGGGCAATGGCCCTTCCTAACAGCACGCAAAATGTGTTGAGTTTTTTTTATTTTTACATTGATGTTAGATCACTCCATATATTGTCGAGCGTCAATGACCAGTAGTTGTTTTAGAAGTGGAAACGATTTAAGCACAAAATGTGCTTTGAAAATCGCCGCGACGCAGGTGAACGTTTCGTGCCATTCCCCGCTTTCATAGTCAACGTATTATTCACGATTGTTACTTACAGTAACTCTCTTAATAGCGACAGAGGCAATTTCAAACAACTTAAAGAAGTCTGGCTGCACTGCGTTGCACGTGTTTTCAAACTCACGCGCTGCTCTTCTCCGTCACTTTCCTCTGATTGGCGTCCCTGACGACTGCCCTCTTCTCCGATTGGCTCGGCGTTGTTCCCACGGTAACCGGCTTGGCCTGGCTGCGATTGGCCGCCGGGTTGCTATTGGATCGCGGCCGCCCAGGGTTCTCTGTCGGGGGGGTGGGTAGATAAAGGGGATAGAGGGGATTAGAGGGGCGATTCAGTCGTCACATTATTTAGCAACGACACGCTGTCCGAGCGATGAGCGACAAATCCGGCGGCTTTCTATAGACGAGGACGTGATGCAGATTTCAGGGGATACGAGGCATGTACTCGGGTTCCTCTATATTCCTCGCCTGGTACGCAGGAGGTGGGGTGCTCGATCCCGACCATGACGCCTGCTGCTGGATATTTGGAGTTTGCGGTGTCTCTCTCTTCCCGTGGTAGCGTGGATTTTTTTCTCCGGGTCCTCCGGTTTTTCCCTCCACATTTTGAAACATGCGTTTAGGCTATTTAGATTATTTTGCTGCTATAAATGCCCAAATGATCGGTCACTTTGTTGAGCCTTCATTTGTGGCCAGGTCGCTTCTGAAAAATAAGCTGATACCTCAGTGGGTTTTGCCTAAGTAGGATGGTTTAGTTTTAACTTGGTCTGTGAGTGTTTTGCAATACGAGCAATTTTTTAAAATGAATATTCATTTGATAAACGAGTAGTACGTGTATACGCTTTGTCTGCCGAGCGTCACATGATGACAACTGATATACGAGTGCTTTGATATACCGAGTGCTTTGGATTACAAACACGTTTCCAGAACGAACTATGCTCGCAATCCAAGGTTTTACTTGTATGTGTTTTGGTGATTTTTTTACCTTGTACTTTGCACGACTTATATTGTTGCAATGTTTGTTGTAACGTTCTCACCCGCCCCCTACTGGACATCTGTGAAAAAGAGCTTCATAGCTCATCAGATTCTTCCAGCATAAATAAAATATTCGGATTACGTAACAGTCGACTTGCGTTCAACAGCGAACCGTCTCGTGACATTTATGATGACTTTAGAAGGTTCATCGAGGAGCAATGTGCAGCGACTACTTCACATCCTTTGACCGAGTTTAGGGAGTTTGCAGCACGGCACCGTCGTGTCTGTGAACGTTGTACCTGTTAACGGAGGGAAGAGGCTGGGCACCTGACTCCGCCCGCCGATCACCGGCGAATGGGCACTCCCGATGGAGCCAATGGAGCTCTTCCTACAGACCAATCGGGAGGGAGGTGACAAGGTCGGGCATCGTCACAGTTTTATTTCGGTCAAGAAACGGCTCGCGCTCGCTCCCTGATCCACGTGCTTCTCACCCTGCGAAAGCCTCATGTCTTGCGATGCAATGACCCATCTAGCTCCTGCACACGAGCCGATATCATTGCTCCATCTACGTGCTCTTGAGCGTGTTTCCCTCCTTTGGCTTGCACTGGCATTAGTCTCAACCAGCCGCCATCATCCCTGATAGTCCTGATGCGTCGTGCCCAAGCCTGTTATCTCAACGGTCAATATAAATATTCGCCTGACCTGTTGTTATTGCCATTAGAAATCCCCCAAAAAATATCTGCGATGCACATCTGATTATCTGCTAATCGTTCTCAAATCTTCCAGCTTGAATCGAATTAATATATCTCGCTAACGAGTTGTATTATGTTGGCCCATTACCAGGGGTTGGCAAACCAAAGTAACAAGAAGAGCCATTTGCTTCGAATTTTGGAAGAAAAAACCCCTAAATATTGCACTGCGCGTTGAATCCGAGACGGCGCTGGTCCTTCATAAATAAATAACGTCATGAAGCAGTCCCTGAAGAGCCACCGCACGCGGCTCCGAAGCTGTAGGTTGCCAGACACGATCAATCTTGGTGGAGCCTTTCCCACGATGCCTCGTGCAATCGAGACAAAACGACTGCAGATTTTTGCCCGTTAAAAATTGTGACACACGTGGTTGATTGGGTAGTCGGGTCGGGCGGGGTTCAGGAGGTCGACCCGTAACCGCTCCCCAGCGCCACACCCTCTCGGCGCTCCCCCCCCGCCCCACCCCACCTGCTGCCCTTGACCGGTGGGGCCGGCGTTGGTGCCACCGGTTGCGCCGGGGGCTGCATGCTGAGCGAGTTGCTGCGGGACAGCTTGCCGATCTTCCTCGCCTCCTGCGCCGCTCCTGGAGGAGGGGATTGAAAATAAGACGACGAGAAATCGTGGCGCTGAGATTCACCCGCCCCCTGTCCCCGGCTGGAATCCCGGGTTTCGACCGCCAAGTGACTTACATCGGGTTCTCAAGCGTAGCGGAGTTTATAGATCTCGGCCCGATCACCAATGATTGGGCTAAAAACACCATAGTTCGGAACGTGGGGTGAGGAACTCTGTCGCTAAACCGAGGGCCAAAGAGAACTTTTATAAAAACCTGCGGCAGGGGCGGCACTCATGAACACAGGCCCCAGTCACCTCTCGTCACTTTCAACGACACGCCCACTGGGCTTCTCAGATCGAGACGCTCGCAGCGATGGATACATTCCGAGTGCGGGCCGGTAGGCCTCGTGAGGTCCGTCCGCAATGCTGTAGGCGTCTCACCACTCGTTTAGATGCCCTCTGAATGAATCCACGCCCGTGTTGGGATTGTGATGCTAAAGGTCACGAAGCCTCGACGAGGTCTTGGACGGCCGTGACCTCGCGCCGCTGAGATCTCACCTTTCTTCTTGTCTCCCTTGGGCTTCTGTTGGCTGCACTTGCTATCCGCGTGCTGCTTCTCCCTCTCACGCTGCTCCTGAAGCAAACAACAACAACAAGGGAGACGTCGACAGTAAATGCAAATTTATTAATTTGGTTAAAAGTGCGTTGTCTTCTTACCCCCCGCCCGCCACCCCCATTCTGTTCTTGAATGTGCTCTCGGCATCATGTCACGTGATGAAGAATCTGTTAGGAACTCCCAAAGAGCAGCGTAACACCCCGTGTTAGAGAACAGTCCGCGGAAGTGTTTATAATAGAACTACTTCTGAGCGCCCGTTAAGAGACCTTTATCCACTCTATAGGACAGCACCTTCTCATCCGCCTTGCTACACAGTAATGTTCATCGCATGCCAGTCAAGCCGATATTTTTTTTTAAAATGAGAGTTGGACTATAGGCACATTAAGTGCACTAAATGACATTAGGTTTGATTTCCACTTAAGTTTTTGCCAAAGTAAAATTTTTTGGGGATTTTTAAACATTTGTTTGACTTTCCCAAACATTGCTCTCAGTGGCAGAGCGGGTGGGGAAGTGCTTCCCCCTACAGCAGGGAACACAAGGCACTGAGAAGGGACCTCAGAGGTAGCCCTATGATATCCGCTTTCGTGGGCCGTTCACTAACACGAAGGGTTGCGCAATCGTGTTAACACTGGGGGGATATTTCAGGGATTCATCTTCTTGGTTCTTCTCGACAGACATGTTCTTCACCTGAGGACGGCTGCTTGCATTGTGGCCGAAACGTCGTGAGAATTATTTTATTATGTTTTATTTTTATTATTTTATTATTTCCATTCTACGTGACTTTACCGAAAGAACCAAGAAGAACTGGGGGGGATAAATACAGTTCAAAAAGGATCACAATTGTGAGACAGACAACTTCTTACAGCGTGACAGAACCCCTTACCTCCATCAACAGGTTCTCATCCTGCTCCCTCTGCTCATCGATGAGGTCATCCTCGCACGGCTTCCGGTGCAACTTGCAACGGTAAACGCAAGAAAGCAGAAGCACAAAAAACATTCCTCGCACAGGGACACGAGACAACCCAACCGGCACGCAGCTCTCCGCCAGTAGCCACACCCCGGGGCTGTCCATCCCGGGCTGCCCTGCACCGGTTTGAATCTTCGTGAGCGAGAAAATAACGTTGATGATAATGTGAAGTCGCGACGAGCATGGTGCCCGACAGGGTGTTGAGGAGGTGCACCACCTCGGCTGCCCTGTCGAGTTGCTCTCTTCCCTCTCCCAATGCATCGTTGTTGCTATTAACTCTTTACAGCAAGAGATGCTTTCATTTAGCATGTGTGTAAATTGTCAAATGAAAACTGTGGCCTTCGCTAGAGGCCCGACAGCAATTTAGCTGCCTCACTTTTCCCATCTTGTTCACAAGATTCTGACCGCACTCTGCATGATACGTAACGGTGTCCGTCCGTGTCTCACCGAGTCGACTGCCACTTCTATGCGGTCGAGGGCCAACACCGCCTGGTGACACGGAACCAAAGACAAACACATCGATACCGTTTCAAATACAGGTCCATCACGTGTCATCCGTCTCAACGAAACGCTCTCACCACGTCTCTCTCGGTGCCTTCGTCACATCATGCCTTGTCCACCAAGTCTCTTACTACTCCTACTTTGTTTTTCCAGGTAAGGCCCACTGAGCTATACACAGCTATATTTCAGAAGCTACATGGCTATCACAAATGACAGCTCAACGAAGTGGCTTATCATCGTGTGGAAATTGATATTGGCAAATACTCTGATTGCACGTTGATTCTAAATGTGGAGGGAAAAACCGGAGGACCCGGAGAAAAATCGACGCGACCACAGGGAGAACATGCAAACTCCAAATATACCGGCGACACGCTCAGTATCGAACCCACGACATCCTGTACACCAGGCCAGGGAGTTAACATCTCGCCACCCACCGTGGCCCGTTCATTCGGCTGGCGCAGAGTCCTGGCAACTCGTGGTGTAGCCAGAAAGTGCCCTCCGCTGGGTCACTGCATGGATAACGATCGTGGCTCATGTCTCACATTTGTCTGCAGGTCGTTTGAGAATGCGAGGCCATCACCTTGCGACACGACCTCACGTTGGCCTCACCTTGCGCACGGCGGCCAGGGCATCGGCGTCACGCTCCTGCGAGAGCGAGCGCCGGATCGCCGCCTCCAGCTGCTGCTGCAGATCGTGGTCCCCGGGCAGGCGGAGCAAGGCCTTGAGGCGCGGCAGCAGCGAGCACAGCCGCATCCTGGGGTTGGGCACAGCGGTTGGGGGTCGTGCATTTTTTGTTGTTGTTGTTGCAAGGAATAACTATGATGAAAAAAGCGCCGATAGAGAGAATAGGACCTTTGAAGTGCCGGCCACAGCACACGAGGAGGTGGGTGGCCGGCACCACGCCCAGTAGCCTTAGTCTCCCCAGTGGTGATGTCTACACACCGCACTGGGTACTCATTTGAGGTTGAGTCGACCTAGGGGAGGCCCAGGTGCGGTTCAGATAATTGGCCTTGAGCGGGAATTGAACGCAAGGAATAAATACGACGATGAAAAGCGTTTGTTTAACGAGCACCTCGATGCAAACTGGCAGCCTTTTGGGTCCGCGCACCCTTACACGGCGACTGCCTATGAAGCCCGATGGTTTGGGAGTCACACCGATCCTGCGTAAAGAGCTCTGCCTCGAAATCCGTTGCACGTGGGCGGCAAAAATGTAAACCAGGGGTAAGCAGCCTCTGTGGTTTTTACCGGACCACAAGCGCCAGCGGCAGTGTCCAACAGCGCGGTATCAAACGGAGCGGCGCAGCTCGGTACGGCAGTGGTGCCCCCCGTGCCTTGTGCCGTGCCAGGCCATGCCGGGCCCTCCAGCCCGCCTGACCCACCTGACGTTGGCCACGGGGTCACAGGTGAGCGCCATGGCGTGCGTGAAGAAGGCTCGCTTCACGAAGGCGCGGGAGAAGTGCTCCATCAGGTACCCGCACGCGTCCAGGAACAGGACACGGCGGCGGAAACTACGCGCCCTGCACAGCTCTGCACGCGCGGATGCACACGCACGCGGACACACGCACACACGCGCCAGTATTAATTCAGTTGGCACTTTTCATCTTGTTCTAGGCCTCCAAGCTCTGGCTTGGCCTCCAACGTGGCTCGGCTCAGGCTTCCAAAGATGCTCGAGCGGCTCAGTCGTGGCCTTGCGGCTCAGGCTCAGCTCCTGGAAATCTTGAGCTTTGGACGGGCACCATGCTCAGAGCTGGCTCAAGTTGAGCACATGGCTTTGAGCCACTTGAAACTGAGCTAAGCCTGAGCAGTGACGAACAATGGAGGGAGGCCTCAAAGTGGTCGGCGACAACCTGTGGAATTTGAGTGAAGTCCGTGGATTTCATATCGTGGTTCTCTTTATCTTATTCTCGTGTCCTGTACGTTTGTACAGTATGTTGAACTTCTTTCGCACCGTACGTAGCCTCCCGTGCTGATTGGAGGTGCCACCAGCGTCTCGTCGACTGAGGAGGTCAAACAATAAATCCACTCAATCACCCCCTACCCCAAAATACAATTAGGTCGGCCAATAAGCGAACTCTTTAGATAATTATATAGAACCAATTACCATATGTTTGATCTTCCTTCATGCACTGCAGTCTCCAATCATGTTAGTCATCTTAGAAGTTGTCGTTGGCTTCACACTGACCGCTGCGGTCGTCACTAGCCATTGACATAGGCCCTGTCTCCAGGGCTGTCCGGCATGAGTTTAAAGCTTCCGCGCGCCGCCTGCAACACTCGATAGCCACGCCACCGCCCCGCTGGCACCGACGGAGCGGGAGAGGGAGGAGCGGGAGAGGGAGGTGGCGGCGCCACGCTGCACTCACGCGCCACGAGCTTGTCGCACATCTCCTGCCGCTGCTCGTGCCGGCGGTTGTGTCGGATGAGCGTGCACAGCGTCCGCACCGCCGCCTGCTGCACGGGAAGCACTCGCTGCAGGGGGGAGGGGCGGGGGGCACGGGGTGGGGGTGTGTGACACCGCGCGGGTTAGGCCCTCGTCTATATCACTGCCTCGGTGGGTTCACGTCCACGTTCGGGTGAATGACGCGATGGATAAACGCGCAGCTCTTCATCGTCAGCCACGCTCTATCCACTGCACTTCTTTTGGAAATGTGGCCCAAGATATGTCGGTTATCTAAACCCCCCAATGAGAGCCCAGTCCTGTAAACATGCAAACATCACGTGCATCCACCATGGATGCCGAATGGTTTGCTCTTAAGGACAAAATATGCTGCTTCTCACGGCTACTATTTTAGCGTTTTGCAATGCCATCACCTTCATCAGCCACGATCATAGCGCTGCTGGACAAAAGCCTGCCCAAGTCATCACCATCTCCCGCGACACTGTGATGCGTGAATCCATCTGGCTACACGAGCTCATCTCATCGCTCCATCTCCACGGTGGACGTCCACTAGGCTGCTTTGGCTGCGACTCCATCATTGACCTTGACTGCCACCCATCGGGCTTGTAACTCGAGTCAAAAGATTACAAACTCGTTTTTTATATTTTGGCCCCCAAATATGTGAGGTCGATGATTGGTTTCATTCATGAATGCATTCCAAGATTTTCAAATTAATCCGAAAAAGAAACTAACCCTAGATACGAAACTTTAACTTTTTTTTATTTCGCATTGGTTCTAAAACATGACGTCACACAAAGTGACGTCACTATCGCGACATCGCCCACCAAAAGTGATGTCACGTGGCATCGGTTAACACCATTCTGATAGCACAAAGACAGTGTTCTTTCGGCACATGTCTATTGTGGGTAAAAAAAAACTACACAAAACCGTCCTCATCAAAACCCAAAAAATCCTAAATCTAAATTTTTCAAAAATACAAATTTCCTCTCATCGTTCAGTCTCCGCGGGCGGTCGCACTCCCGGGCCGCACACCCCGCTCTCCGGGTGGAGTGGGCGCGCAGGGCGGGACGCACGTACACGTACGTGCGTGTCGATGATGCGGAAGGCCACGGGCACGAACTTGTAGTACAGCTGGTCGCTGGACAGCACGGCGGGGAGACCGGCGAGGCTCGCCACGAGCCGCTCGTGCAGGCGCCACTTGAGCGAAGCACCGGCGCGTGCCTCCGCCGCCAGCAGCGCCGCGATGAGCTCCGACGCCGGTGGAGCCTGCCCGGGACCCGGCGGCCATTAAACCGCCACAGCGTCGGTTAATCCGGTGAAACGTCAGTTAAACTGCCACAGGGTCGGTTAAACCGGTGAAACGTCAGTTAAACCGCCACAGCGTCGGTTAAACCGGTGAAACGTCAGTTAAACCACCACAGCGTCGGTTAAACCGGTGAAACATCAGTTAAACCGCCACAGCGTCGGTTAAACCGGTGAAACGTCAGTTAAACCGCCACAGCGTCGGTTAAACCGGTGAAACGTCAGTTAAACCGCCACAGCGTCGGTTAAACCAGTGAAACGTCAGTTAAACCGCCACAGCGTCGGTTAAACTGGTGAAACGTCAATTAAACTGCCGCAGCGTCGGTGAATCCGGTGCAGCGTCGGTATAAGGGAACATATTTTTTTATAACTCGGATGCGAATTTTATATAACGCGATTGAGTGAACAGAACTACGCCGAACGAGTAGGAGTAAGCGGTTGTGCGACTGCCTCGGCGTAGCATCGCACACGGAAGGATGCTGCTGGATGCTTCTAGATGCTACCCACGTGCCTCAAGTCTTTGTTCAGCCTGCGTATGCATCTCACGTGTTATCGCGGACCGTGCTTTACCCTGTATTATGTATTATTCATTAAAACGCGATTTTTCCATAACGCGGTGTTCTTATTATTACCGAGCGTTTTAGGAGAACAGACTGCATATTGCTGCTTCTTGGATGTCTGTAAGTGGCAGAGCGATAGAAGCACGCGCAGAGCCAAGCGCTCACCTTGTTCTCGTGGCTGCCCGTCCGTCGCGCGAGCAGCAGCACCTCCGTCAGGTTGTCCACGAGGGCATCCAGCACCTGTGAGGGAACCGCAGCGGCCGAGGTCAATGCCTGCGCGACCCCCGCGCGACCCCCGCGCGACCCCCGCGCGACCCCCGCGCGACCCCCGCGCGACCCCCGCGCGACCCCCGCGCGACCCCCGCGCACCTTCCACCTTCTGTATACACGGCAAGTCCCCGCTTAACGCGCAGGTGTTGACGCAACTGTTGCCTTTCTTTGTTGTTACTGTACCAGGTAAGGCCCACTGAGCTATAGTCGCTCTTTCTCAGAAGCGACCTGGCCACAAATGATAGCTCAGCGAAGTGGCTTATCACCTTCTTAGGTTTTTTCGGTAAAGTCACGTAGGTAAAAAAATTAAATTAATAAAAGTAAAATAAAACAAAGTAAAAAATCACGACGTTTCGGAAGCAACACAAGCCTCCGTCTTCAGGTGGAACCGTCACAGCTGTATCAAGTAAATGAGAGATCACAAGAAATACCACCCCGTATATATAATGGTTGAGGGGGGAAAGGCCAGGAACGGCACACTTTTTATTAATATGGTAAGGTGAGGCTTAAGACTAAGAATAGACTGGCTTATCATCGTGTGGACAATTATAGCAGCCAAATACTCTGATCTCACGTTAATTCTCAATGTGGAGGGAAAAACTGGATGACCCGGAGAAAAATCCCAGCGACCACGGGGAGAGAGACCATGCAAACTCCAAATATAGAGGCATCGTCAGGGTCAGGATCAAACCCACGACCTCCTGCATATCAGGCGAGGGAGCTAACATCTCGCCACCGCAAGGCGTACGACAGCGGTGTACGCGAGCGTTTCCCCGAGCGACGCACCTGCAAGGACTCGTCCTGTAGCAGTGACAGCAGCTCCTTGTGAATGAGGTGGAACTTTGGGGGCCAAAAGCTTCGCCACCTGAAAAATTGAACGGCATCATAACGACAATTCACGATGATGTACAGGGTGCTTCAAAAAAATGTGAACACTTCTGAAAATTTGAAACAATGTGCCTCCGGGCTCTGGAGACCACCTGGAGAAAATTCCAGGCACGTGTTGACAATAATGGTGAATAAGTGTAAACTCGTTGACTCTTTGAAGCGATTAACATTACATTTGTTATCATGTTACAGTGTATTATCCGTTCTTTTTCCATTTTTTTGAAGCACCTTGTATATTCATGATTGTACTGCCACAGCGGTGGTAATGGTTGGCCATCACTGGACCTGCAATCCAGAGGTCGCCGGCTCGGCTTGTTCTCCCGACGCGGCAGTTTAAACAATGGGGAACTTTCGATTTAAAGCTTTCGTGACTGCAGGGATTTATCTTCTTGGTTCTTTCGGTAAAGTCGCGTAGAATGGAAATAATAAAATAATAAAAATAAAAATAATAAAATAATTCTCACGACGTTTCGGCCACAACGCAAGCAGCCATCCTCTTTCTGACAGCCCTGTTCTTCACCTGAGGACGGCTGCTTGCGTTGTGGCTGAAACGTCGTGAGAATAATTTTATTAAGTTTTATTTTATTTTATTATTTCCATTCTACGTGACTTTACCGAAAGAACCAAGAAGACAATGGGGAACGTTAATAAAATCACCTCCCCCGCCACCTTTGTCCACCCAGCAGTGCAACCGGGTGCAACCACGGTGAGTCGATCGGACGGCCGGGGTGAGGTGGGGAAAAGAGTGGGCTCTCCCACCGCTTCAAACAAGCCTAGCCAGCATGGAAGAAGACCACGGGCAAGATGCCCTCCCGAGGGCTCCCTCGAGTGTGAGCCGCTTCTTCCAGCAGCAGTGGCGTAAGCGAGCGATTGCTGCACCGTATTCTCCAGATTAAAAGAGGCACTCCTTTCCCCTGTATTTTAAAGCAAAGGTGCATGTGTGTGCGTGTGTGCGCGAACAGATTTTGTATAACTTTACTGACACCGGGGCACACGTTTGTGGTGCATCGAACCTTCCAGAGCGGTCTCATAACTGCGGAGAATGCGGTAAAATTCCACTACTTCTCCGGCACGATTTCCCCCGGAAAACATCGCCCCCAAAACCGTCGCCGCGAGTAACTTTTGCCAAAAAGCGCGGCCAGTCTCCTTGCCACGGTCCCCAAATAAGTTTCCTTGGCCCACGACTCCCGCTGAGCGGAGGCCTCTGCATGCGCGTGTGCTCATGAGACGCGTGCTCATGAGACGCGTGCTCATGAGACGCGTGCTCATGAGACGCGTGCTCATGAGACGCGTGCTCATGAGACGCGTGCTCATGAGACGCGTGCTCATGAGACGCGTGCTCATGAGACGCGTGCTCATGAGACGCGTGCTCATGAGACGCGTGCTCATGAGACGCGTGCTCATGAGACGCGTGCTCATGAGTCGCGTGCTCATGAGTCGCATGCTCATGAGACGCGTGCTCATAAGACGGGTGCACTGACCTCGAGGAGGCTGCTGGCCACGGTCGCCCGCACGCCGGCGTCGCGGTCGTGGCACATGGCGGTGAAGGCGGCCCGCAGCCGGCTAGGAAAGTTCTCCGGCTGGGCGAACTGCACCATGGCCTGCACACACACACACACAAAACAAAGACCCGCCCCCGCCCCGCCGTGTAACCTTGAACAGGGTGTCGGGGCGGTTGCTCTTCGCGAGTGGCACCTGTGAAGTCCGCGCACGGCATGGCACACGAGGGGGTGGGTGGCCAGCGCCACCGCCGGCCGCCTTTGTCTCCCCGCCAGTGCTGATGTATAACACACCCTGCCCTGTACTCATTTAAGGCTGAGTCGACCTACAGGAGGCCCAGGACCGGTGGAAATATTCGCCTCTGTTAATGGTCACGAACGGAAATGTAACTCGGGTTTGCCAGGTACGTAGAGCTGTGCGCTGACTTATACGTATGGAAATTAACATTTAATCTCGTTTTGTGCAATCGGTGTTCCGTTATGAGACAATTCATTAATTCGGAACTTTTGCAGAACCGTGCAACCTTCTTCGTGGGACAGCGGTCGATAGAAGCGCTCCCTCTGGAATCTCTTAAAGTCACCTCTGACCCACACTAAGGGATGGATATCAAATGGATATGAGATGGAAACACAGAAATGATAGAGAGACACAGACAAAGACATAGAGATGGCGGCAATGACATAGAGATGCAGACACTAAAAGAGACAATCTAGGTAGACTACATGGGGGGATTTCGATGTAAAGCTTTCGTGACTGCAGGGATTCATCTTCTTGGTTCTTTCGGTAAAGTCACGTAGAAGGGAAATAATAAAATAATAAAACATAATAAAATAAGAACATGGGGGGATCTTTGACTTTGTCTTTGATCGCTTGTATGGGTGTGTAGGTGCGTGGGTGCATGAGTGCGTGGGTGCATGTATGGGTGTGCGGGTGCATGCGTGGGTACGTGCGTGTACACGCGTGGGGTGCGTGCGTGATTGCGCGGGCGGACGCGTGTGTGCGTACGTACGGGCAGATTGTACGCGCAGTGTCTACGGCACTCCACTTGTCGCGCCGACCGCTCGCCGCTGGCACCCGGCACCAGCTGCTGCTGCGCCAGCCCCATGTAGACATCGGCATCGCGCCGTGGCCCGTCCGTGCCGGGGCTGCCACCGTGGCCGTTGCCGTTCTCCACGGCGGCGCCGGCGCGGCTCAGCCGGCAGTAGTGCTCCAGCAACGACCAGCGCTGCTCCTCGCTCAGCATGGCTGCATTGGTGGCGGAGGTTGGGGAGGCGGGGGGGAGCCAGAGGGGAGATGGGGGGGGAGAGAGAGGGTCTACGATCGGTCTCCTAGCGATCGCGAGCTCAGATCGCGGGAGACGCGCCGCCCTGCTTGACGGTGCGATCAGATCAAACTCATTTGCGGGAAGAATGCTCTACGATGATGATGATGATGATAAGGACGATGTTTTGATGACCGTGATGATGGTGCCAATGATGAGGGTGATTTTCGTGAGTGATAATAACGATGATGGTGATGATGACGATGATAATGGTGGTGATGGTGATCGTGATGATCACAATAACACTGCTGAATATGATGCTGCTGCTGCTGCTGATGATGATGATGTTGTTACCGGAGAGGCTGTGGCAAAGGCGGCCGAAGTTGAGGGCGAGGCTGGGCATGGAGTTCTCGTCTCCGGCGAGCGCCCGCTCACAAAACCCCTCGACCAGCGGCACCACCGTGTGCCGGCACGTCGCTACGTCACACACACGTCATCATCAACATCGTCAACATCATCATCAATATCGTCAACATCATCATGGTCACCATCGTGTGCCAGCACGTCGCAACGTCGCCCACACGTCATCAACATCATCATCAACATCATCATCAACATCATCAACATCATCAAAATCATCATCACCATCATTAACATCATCATGGTCACCATCGTGTGCCGGCATGTCGCTACATCACCCGCACATCACAACATCATCATTGTCATCAACGTCAACACATCATTATCATGGGAGGGGGGGGGGGGGTCCAGGTGGAGTCAAGGGGGGAGGCGGAGCGGTGGAGCTAGAAGGAGGGGTCTAGTGGTTTTGGGGGTCGCGGTGGCTTGAGGAATGGGTGCAGTGGGGGGAGGGGGGGTGGGGGGGTTCAGGGGCAGGCGCTGCACCCACCAGAGTCCAGCATGGCGATGGCGTTGGTGAGCGTCTCCAGCGCCGCCGTGCGTACCCCCCCCTCCTCGTCCGCCGCCAGCTCCAGCAGCTCCGGCAGCACCGCCACGCGCGTCTGCTCCAGCCTGGTGTCGTCGCACACGCGGTTACGCGTGAGCGTGGCGCATCTATGTATGTACGTTGAACTTCTTTCGCACCGTACGTAGCCAGCCGTGCAAGTCAGAGGTGCGGGGGAAGGACAACAAACTAAACACAAAAAAGCACGCGCACGCGTGTACGAGACCCGTGCATGCGCGTGTACGAGACCCGTGCATGCGCGCGTACGAGACCCGTGCATGCGCGCGTACGAGACCCGTGCATGCGTGCGTACGAGAGCCGTGCATGCGCGCGTACGAGAGCCGTGCATGCGCGCGTACGAGAGCCGTGCATGCGTGCGTACGAGAGCCGTGCATGCGCGCGTACGAGACCCGTGCATGCGTGCGTACGAGAGCCGTGCATGCGTGCGTACGAGACCCGTGCATGCGTGCGTACGAGACCCGTGCATGCGTGCGTACGAGAGCCGTGCATGCGCGCGTACGAGAGCCGTGCATGCGCGCGTACGAGAGCCGTGCATGCGCGCGTACGAGACCCGTGCATGCGCGCGTACGAGAGCCGTGCATGCGCGCGTACGAGAGCCGTGCATGCGCGTGTACGAAACCCGTGCATGCGTACGTACCCCAGGCCCCGGGCGACGCTCTCCAGCTGGCGGCACATGGTGGCGCGCACCTCCAGCTCCACGTCCTGGCACAGCGCCCGCACCAGCGGCAGCACCTCCTTACCGATCCTGCACCGCGTCCATCACCGGATGGGGGGAGGGGGGGGGGTGTTAAACGGGCCCAACCGGGCGGCTCTCACGGTGATGTTGATGATGTTGTAAACCATAAACAAAACACCACCGCATGTATGTGTGGATGTTGAACTACTTTCGCACCGTACGTAGCCAACCGTGCAAGTCAGAGGTGCGTGGGGAGGACAACAAACTAAGCACGAAAAGCAGTTCTAAAGAAACTAGATTTCAATCTAGATTATGATTTAAAGGTGCATATCTCTAGTGGCTTCCTAATATCGAAAGGAAGAGCATTCCAGAGGGCCGCATAAGTGCATCCGAAAGCACGTGATGCAGTGACCGTCTCTGGTCGATGGCGAGCCACAAAGACTCAATACTGCCCAAAAACTCAACACTGCCCATAGACTCAACACTGCCCATAGACTCAACACTGCCCATAGACTCAACACTGCCCAAAGACCCAACACTGCTCATAGACTCAACACTACCAATAGACCCAACACTGCCCAAAGACCCAACACTGCTCATAGACTCAACACTGCCCATAGACTCAACACTGCCCATAGACTCAACACTGCCCATAGACCCAACACTGCCCATAGACGTAACACTGCCCATAGACTCAACACTGCCCAAAGACCCAACACTGCTCATAGACTCAACACTGCCAATAGACGCAACACTGCTCATAGACTCAACACTGCCCAAAGACCCAACACTGCCCATAGACTCAACACTGCCCAAAGACCCAACACTGCCCATAGACTCAACACTGCCAATAGACCCAACACTGCCCATAGACTCAACACTGCCCAAATACCCAACACTGCCCATAGACTCAACACTGCCCAAAGACCCAACACTGCTCATAGACTCAACACTGCCCAAAGACCCAACACTGCTCATAGACTCAACACTGCCCATAGACTCAACACTACCAATAGACCCAACACTGCCCAAAGACCCAACACTGCCCATAGACTCAACACTGCCCATAGACTCAACACTGCCCATAGACCCAACACTGCCCATAGACTCAACACTGCCCAGGGCCGCAGAAGTGCATCCGAAAGCGGGCGATGCGGTGACCGTCTTTGTTCGATGGCCAGCCAAAAAGCCACCGCGCACCATGGCCCTTGAAAGGCCAAGTACACAACAACAATAACAACAACAATAACAACAACAACAATAGCGGACGACGTTTCAGGGGGGGCCACAACCCTTCCCGTGGCACGTGAACGGAGAGGCCCAAAACCAAACGGGTTGTCGCGACGACGCGCACGATGGCCGCCGCTCACGTGTAGGCGTCGAACTTGGTGGCGATCTTGCCGAGGATCTTGCAGCAGACGATCCGTGAGGGCACGGCCTGCGACAGCTGCCCCTTGGCGGTGGCGATGCCCAGCACCTTGCGGGAGATCGGCCCAGAGCAGTCGTGGGGTTAAAATCGAGTTCACCGTGGCAGAGGTGAAGACAGCAACGAACGTCCATTCTCTATCCGCTGCTCGGCTAGGGCCTTCGCCTGTCGAAAGCGTCGGTTTTCACCATTGCCCTGATTGCGTTTTTGATTCGTTGTCGTCACGATCGATCATCATGGTCATTGGCCATGGTCTATCCACTGCTGCGTGAAAGCCTCCCCCATCATCTCCCTTCTTTGCTCCGATTTATACTTGTCATTACATCGTTAACATCGTTGTCATTATTATCAGCGTGATTAATTTTATGATCATCACCATCATCATCAGCCATGGTCTATCCACTGCTGAGTGAAGGCCTCTCCTTGTTTAAATTGTCATCTGTCTGCGTTGTGCTGATTAAATGTATTATTATTATCATCATCGCTACTTATCGGGTATTTATTGGCTGATCAGGCTCAACTATATGAGCCGTGCATACACGTGAGTTGCGTAACGCTCTCCAACGTGTATTTGTCCTCGACGGCATTTTTTTATTACTCCTTTCCCGTTCTGAGACGTCTGCAAGTTGCAGGGTTCACTCTGAATCTCGGAACTCGCAAGCGGCTCAGCATTAATATTATTTAGAGAGGTGCAGCGCCGTTGTTCTTAAAGGCATTGCACTCACCGTAGCGACACGACCGCACTCTATGATAGCTGGCGCCATAATGTGCCACATGCCCTCCAGCATGGACTTGTGGGAGCCTCGGTATCGATAAAGTTATTTTATTTTAGTTTTTCTCTTCCGGTTTCGTTTTTATGATGTACACGTACGTCATCGGAACAGAATCGTAAGAAAAACTGATGACGTACACGTATGTCATCGTACGTCATCGAAACGGAAAAGGGTTAATTATCATGGTAGCGCTCGTGGCAGGCACGCAGGGAGCCATACATAGGCCCCGATGAAACCACAGCGCTCGGATAGTAGCTCTGCCCAGGAAGGCCCACCCCGACCGGCAGGCCGGGGATGGATCCTTTTAGCTTCGGTTCCAGTTCCGGACACCCCTTTTGATGAATGTATCCAGATTCCAATCGGGGTAAAAAGTCTCATTATTGGATCCCATTTACCAGAGTTATTTTGCCCCCCCATGTTGCAGATGGCCGGATGGACGGACAGACAAGAGCCGACGCGTAACCCCGCTTTCAGCCTCGCGTTAAAAACAACGGCGAACGTCACTTTTTAAAAATTCACCTCTCTTTTCACGAGGTCCTTGGGCATGATCTCGATGGCCGTGAGCAGCGTCTGTAGCCAGGCGTTGGCAACCGCTGGCGGGAAAAAACGCACAGACGCCAACAGAACGGATCCACGTCATTCACACAGCATCGCGGCCAAAGCACACCGGACGTGTAGCATCCTACGCCAGGCTATTTCCACTGCTGGATGAAGGCCTGCCCCCATGTTGACAAGCAGTTCAAGAAAACGCTGTGCAGCTGTAATCCGGACTGTCGCCTAAAGACGGCATCAGAGACGATCTGTCAGTGAACCGTAAATATGATTTGACAAAATTGTCTGAACTAAAGAGATGCCGAGATAACAAGGTAATACCCATATATATACAAATACTGTGTTCTTGGAATTTCTCTCACTTGATACAGCTATCGTGCTGTGACGGTTCCACCTGAAGACGGAAGCTTGTGTTGCCTCCGAAACGTCGTGATTTTTATTTTATTTTTATTTTACTTTTATTAATTTAAATTTTTTACCTACGTGACTTTACCGAAAAAACCTAAGAATATGGTCTGAACGACCACATCAGTGACAAGTATGTCAGTCTGTTGTCTACAGGGACCATCAATTCACTACACTCATGAAGCCGGCTCAATCACAGTCAAGCGATGGAGCCCGGATTCCCAATTTCGGACCTCAGCGGTGCCAGCTCAACACTCCTGACGTGACCATTATGAAGCCCCCCTCCAAGCCCCCTTGCTCGTCTCATCCCGGGCCAGGATCAGTACTTCCCATCACCCTCGTGCAATCCTGCCACTCTACCCACAGACCGACATCCTGGCCAGGGCTGTAGCTGGACATTTTGGCTGGGGAACGAGGTGCCATGCGCGTATGTATGTGTGTATGCAGAACTTCTTTCGCACCGTACATAGCCAAACATGCTAATCGGAGGTTCGGGGGGGGGGGGGGAAGGACAATAAACTAAACACAAAAATTATGTTGGTCCATGTTAGTTCATGTTGAACCATGTTAGTTGGTCCATGTTGGACCATGCACGTACGTTGAACTTCTTTTGCCCCGTACGTAGCCAACCGTGCTAATCAGAGGTGCGGGGGAAGGACAACAAACTAAACACAAAATCCCCCCGCTCCCCCGTCCACCCCCCCCCCCGCCCGTGGCTGCTGCTGCTGCTGCTGCACCGTCATCGCCGCCTCCACCACACGCTGGAGCCACCGGCCTCTTCGTTCCCCAACAATTTGGCGGCACACCGAGGACGGCGCTGCCCTCGGGAGGGCCGGCTGGTAAATGTCCACGTGATGACAAGCCACTTCGTCGGGTGTATCATTCGTGGGGCCAGGCCGCTTCCGAAAAAGACAAGCTGTCCCGCTCTTTTGGCGTTCCATGGTCTGACACCGGTGGTGAGACGAGACCATAAAGAAGGCTGCCGTCTCTGGTGTGGACCAATTGGTTTCACGGACATTGCGTAAATATTATTAGAGCACGTTTGTTTGCATGTTTTGCCACAAGTACTGTGTGTGACTCATGCAGACTTGATGTCTTGCAAAAGGTATCCGGTGTTTGAACATCTTAAGACCTGTTTTAGTGTCAGGAAAGGTAAACACCTCGACTTTATACCAATAGGTTTTATCCTTTCTGGCAATAAAACAGGTGTTAAGATGTTAAAACACCAAACAGAATACATTTTCAAGGAATCCTGTCTGCAATAACCACGCGGTATTTGTGGTGAACATGCAAACAAAAAACATGCTCTGATAATATTTACATTGTCTTTGAAACCGATTGGTCCACACTAGAGACTTTATTTTTCCCCATCATGTTGACGCTGGCGGAAAAAAAAAGGTCCCATGCTAATCAGTGCCGGATTATCCTAACAGCAAATAAAAAATATGCTACGGGCCCCACACTTTCAAGGGCCCCGCGCTAAATGCTTTCAAGCTATAAATTCCGGTTCAGTCATTCTGCACTTGCTCTATTACTATAGTACTATACTGCCTTCAACGTTTCTGGACGACTGGGTGTTTCAGGTTAGCGATTTGTCATATTATCTGGCTGTATAGCAAATAACATTTTTTTTTACTTTACTGTGCAAGTTAAAAATGTGTCTTCTTGGTTCTTTCGGTAAAGTCACGTAGAAGGGAAGTAATAAAATAATAAGAATAAAACATAATAAAATAAAATAATTCTCACGACGTTTCGGCTACAACGCAAGCAGCCGTCTTCAGGTGAAGAATTCTTCACCTATTATTTTATTACTTCCCTTCTACGTGACTTTACCAAAAGAACCGAAAGAACCAAGAATCCCTGCAGTCACGAAAGCTTTAAATCGAAAATTAAAAATGTGCGTTTTAATATTAGTTTTTTTTATTTATGGCCCCTTAATAACATCACGCTACAGGCCCCGCACTAGCTTAATGCGCGCCGCCGTTGACGCCGTCGAGGCCCCTGGCGCCGGCTGCCTACCGGGGTCGCGGTGCTCCACGTTCATGAGCACGGCGGGGAGGAAGCCCTGCGCGAACACGGCCGGCGTGACGAGGCCCCCGCGCAGCGACGCCAGGAACGACTCCGCCGAGGCCAGCTGCGTCTCGGGGCCAGCAACGTGCAGCACCTCCTGTGTGTGTCCGTGGAGGAGCGGTTAGTGCGCTGCGTGACAAACCCCGGCGACCCGAGTTCGATTCCCGCTCACGGCTAACACCAGTGGCGATTATCTGAACAGGTCCTGGGCCTCCCCTAGGTCGACTCAGCCTCAAAGAGAACCTGGTGCGGTGTGTACAAAACATTGCCACTTGGGAGACAAAGGCGGCCGGGCGTGGATGTTGGCCACCCACTCCCACGTGTGCCGTGCCGGCCTTCATAGGTGCTGCTTGTTAACAGCACTTGCCCCAACAGTCTTTAAAGACTATATGGGGGATCTTTGTCAAACCCGGCGACCATCATCAGTGATGGATACCTGAACCAGCCCTGTGCGCTCCCCTAGGTCGACTGAGGCTTAAATGACTACCAGGTTTGGTGTGCAAATATCGGCATTGGGGAGACAAAGGTGGTCGGGCGTGGTGTTGTGGGTCGTGCCGCTATGAGTCACTGCTCCAATCGTCTACATGACTACATAGGGCTTCTAAGCCTGCCGTGGTGGAATGGTTAGCACACTGGACTTATGATCAATAGATCACCAGTTGAAACATTGGCATGTTTTAGAAACTCCCATTCCCCTGTTCCCCCCCCCGATCGCCCCTCTGCCTTCCCCGAGATGTACACGGGTACACACCACAGCCCTGTCAGAGCCTGCCCATGCCACGACGAGCGTGAGCTCTAGGGAACCCCTCTAGAGCGAGGGTGCTTGGCCTACTCTTCCACGTTGGCCAGATGTTATTGGAAGAGGTGGGAGCACCCACACGCAGCGGGGTACAAAGCCAGATCAAGGCAGACGCAGGCCAGGCGGCTTGGGCAACACGAAGTCTGGAAGCGACAAAACGCGACGCCACGGTGGCGTCGTCCATCACACAGGTTTGTTCAAACCCTCGCCGCATCGCTCGCCTGATCGTGTCATACCAGGCGAGACTTTATCTCCCTCTCCCTGGGTTCGATCCCGACCCTGACGCCTGCTGTATATTTGGAGTTTGCGTGTCTCTCTCTCTCCCCCGTGGTCACGTAGATTTTTCTCCGGATCCTCCAGTTTTTCCCTACGCATTTAGAATCAGCGTCACGCGTTTAGAGTATTTGGCTGCTATAAATTTCCACACGGGAAGCCACTTCGTTGACCTATCATTTGTGACAACCAGGTCGCTGTAATCTGGGCCTTTCCTGGTAATATAAAAATATAAGTTTTAATAGTTTTTTTAGTGTCATCTCCCTGCCCCCCCTCCTCCCCCTTCGTGGTGTTGTTGCTCTCCCGTCCGTGCCTTGGCCCACGCCGGACGCGGCTGAGAGGAGAGACACTCACGCGGACTTTGGGGAGGACTCGCCGGAGCGCTTCTGCCGGACTCCGCTGCAGCAGCTCGGGGAGGCTGCACGCGACGCTGGTCCACTGCACATCCTGGCCAGAGCTGAACGGGGGGGGGGGGTGGGGGGCGCATGAGGACACATGGGGGGGGGGGGGGTGCGGGGGGTGGTGGGGAGGCGTGGGAGAGAATTTACGGTCTTGGGTCAGGTCCTGATATGCTCGAGTGGTCACTTACCTACCGGTACGCTCAATAACCTGCCCGCTCACTCACGTCACAATTCACTTATCGGGTCCACCCGCTCACTCATTCACCTACACAGCCACTCCCTTCACTCATCCTCTCCCTTTCCCAATCACATACCACTCACTCACTCACTCACATCCCGCCCGCCCGCCCACTTGTGAGTTGAATTTTAATGTGCAATTTTATTGAGGGACTGTGTGTTGTCTTGCTGTAGTCTGAGACTGTTTTGCTGTTGTTCTGCTGCTGCCTTGCCCAAGATTGCATTTGGTGTTGGAAAATCGGCAGGCATTGATGCACTTATGCAGTTTGTACTTATATATCTTCGTGATTCTTTCGGTTAAGTCCCATAGAAGGGAAATAAAAAAATAAAAAAACATAAAACATAATTTTTTCCCTTCTACGTGACTTAACCGAAAGAACCAAGAAGATGAATCCCTGCAGTCACGAAAGCTTTAAATCGAAATGTACTTATATACTTTATTTATTTTTATTTAGTCACTTTCTTAGTTTTCCAATACTTTACACGACTACCGTGTGTGTTGTATTGTTTGTTGTTATAACGTTCTGACCCACCCCTACTGGACATCTGTGATAAAATAACTGTACAGCTCATCTGATTAGTCCAGTCTAAATAAAGATTCTGATTTTGTTGTTTTTCTCACGAATCATACAAATGCACTCAAGCTGCCCACGTTCATTTCTGTCTCCATCACCTTCACAGCCTCTGTCCCTCTCACCTGTTCAAACAAATCCCGGCAATGCTGAGCGAATACATCTCGGCAAAAAAAAAAAAAGATTCTGGCACACAATGCCTCGGGCCTGGCAAACAGCGACGCCAGGCAAAGTGGCGCCGACTTCTCAAACACCGGGCCCCTCGCCCCGAGCCGGAGCCGTTGCCGTCTTTCCTCGTTTGCCAATCTTTTTTTTTGCACCATTCAAATGCAAATAAAGCCGTTGGACACTGCGCCGAGGCCCCCCCCCCCCCCCCCCCCCGTGTTAGGAATTGGAGGGAGCCCTCTTAAACCTCCCCACTCGGTGGCCAAAGTGATTTCCGGCTCACGCGCGTGTATCTACGTATGTTGAACTTCTTTCGTACCGTGCGTAGCCAAACCGAGCTAATCGATTCGATGGCTGGGGAGTCTAATCCATGGGGCAATCACCGTTGACTTGGTGCGCCGCGGTGGCAAGACGTTAACTCCCTCGCCTGAGTATACGGGAGGTCGTGGGTTCATGGGTTCGATGCCGTCTCTGACACCTGCAGTAAATTTGGAATTTGTGGTGTGTCTCTCCCCGTGGTTGCGTGGATTTTTTTCTCTGGATCCTCCGGTTTTTCCCTCCACATTTAGAATCAACATCACGTGTTCAAAGTTTCGAGCGTTTGGCTGCTGTAAAAAAAATTCCACATGATAAGCCTTACCTGTTAAAATAAAAAAAATAGTTTAGACTTCCCGTACAAAAGTTGTGCTCATTGTATCGACGACCACGACGGAGGGCACGATGAGCCGAGTAAACCCCGCACCCGGCCACGCGCCCCCCCGCCCCAAACCAGAATGCGAACTCGCAGCCTCACGCTCGCCGTGCCGCCGATGGCGTGTACCCCACAAGCCCTCGCCGCGTTCGTGGCCCGCTTCCACGGCGAGTGGCGGCGCCTCCGTAATTTTTGCTCGCTCGCTCGCTCCGCTCCGCAACCCCCTGTCCGCTCCACGGCGGCGGTGGAGACGCTCGGCGGCGCATGGCGCGTCGTTGCGACAGCTTCTTGACACTTCGATGAGAGGCGACGTAACGCGCGGGGACTATTTAATAAAAAGAAACGAATAACAACAACATTCCGCGACGGACATATGGGGGAGGGGAGGGGGCTGACTGATGTGCCCTCCGCGATAAATGAAGGAAGCGCAAACAACAAAACCAACTTCACCTTCTTGGCACTTGCCCAATATTTATATTAAATTACAACCCTCTCCCCCACCCTGCAAAAAAAAGCCGAGGGCTACGTCGATCACGGGCCAGCGTTTATTTCGTCAAGTCAAGCGTGGCGGAAGAGGCGGCTTTCACTGCCAAGCGTTGAAGAATCTCGAGGTCGCACCGACCTTGAGTCATCGAAGTCCAGGAAAGCGCCGTTTTCAATGCATTCTCTGGATGCGCAGCGGATTACCCGGCTGTTGGCGGTAGTGGTGGTGGCGGAGGTCGGTGCAATTCAAAACACCGCTGACCACATTTCGAGTCGAGCGACGTTTAATTCGTCAATACGTTAAATTCGCGTGTTCGTACCTGTTGACATCCATTCGGATCGTGAACTTGAGATCGCCATGGCAGAGCAAATCGATTCATCGATCAATATCAATTCTTCGGCTCACGATAAATCATTAGAATACATGTGTATATACGTTATACTGTGATGGGTTTCCTTCCGTGAAATCCCTCCAGTAGTTCAGGGATAAGAGAAACTGAGCCGGCACCGCTGAGATCCTGGATTTGTGATTAAACCGGATTCTCAAGTGTAGCGCGTTCCTGGACCAACGTGTGAATCGAGGCTTTGAGAATGCACCTTAAAGGCTCGGCAAAAAGCTCCTCAGCGGTGTACGAGTGCATTTTGACTTGCAGACGAAGTCGAGTTTTTCGAGGCAAGTGAAGTCATCATCATCATCATCATCTCCGGCTGACCCTGGTGTTTGCCCCCTTTGAGGTTCAGAGTGAGTCACTGCGAGGCAATTGCGCATTCACCAGAAGCGGTGGAAATTGTTGGTAATAAACGAGGAAATTAGTGATCGTCGATAATAGATAAGGTGGAACGAAACGGCTTTGGCCATGATGACATCTTCATCTCGAGCCATCTCGTTGCCGTAAACGCCGGGATCGGAGGTGAAGGAGGACGCGTGCAGTGGCTTGCCCGGAGCTCGTAAACACCGCCGTAAAATCATTGCCCCGCTCTTTAAATCCAGCGGTAAAACAACCTCCTAAAGCGGGGCGAGAGGGCGGTAGCTCTGTTACGGGGCGTTGTTTAAACGGGGAGGTGGATGGGGGCCCATAAAAAAAAATCAGGGAGGGGCGGGGGGCACCGCACAGATCAACGTGAACCAAACTTTGCAACGAACGTGAAAACGCTCAATGGAATGAGCTTGTTGCCTGTCGTGCATTTCACCCCCCCCCACCTCTGATGATTAGCACAGTTGGCTACGTATGGTGCGAAAGAGGTTCAACATACAATAATGCAAATACTGCATGTTCAACACACGTGCATACACACCTACATTAGATCCTCGACTCTACCCCCTGCTCGTGGTGGAGCCACGGGTTAAACAAAGTTGCTCGTGCAGTAGAGCGACGATGATTATCGATCACTGCATGCGTGCATCATAACACGATTGCTGTACAGGACTTCTCGCGTGGAAAGGTGCAAGAGTGGCGCTCTCCGTTGTGCACGTGGTCAACCGCCATCTGCTCATCACATCACCGGCCGCTGCCCATTGCAGGCATCAAGCAACTCCTGATGTATGCGTGCGTAGTTGAACTTCTTTCGCACCGTACGTAGTCAACCGTGCTAATCGGAGGTGCAGGGCAAGGACAAGAAACTAAACACGAAAAGCTGTTCTAAAGAAATTAGTTTTCAACGTCGATTTACAAGTGAACAGCTCCCAGTGACTTACCAATATCGGAAGCGTTGCACACTTGTACAGCTCTCTCTGCCATCGGATGCACCGTCGGACTCAGCGAGACGGTTGGAATGTTTTGCCAGTTGCTTTTCACAAATGCCAACGCGAAACAATTAATACGAAAGTTGATAATTGGTTTTTTACCCTTCTATCTGGCAACAAAACTGACACCTTTTTACAAGGAGTCATGTTTGCATAGACCGCAATACCTGCAGTCATAATACAAACAAAAGACATAACTCTGATAATGTGCACTGTCCTTGAAGTTGATTGGTCCACACCCGAGACAGCTTTCCTTAGAGCCTAGTCTCATATGGGTTGGACCAGATGACGCCAAAAAAAGTGTCAGTTTTGTTTCCAGATAGAAGGGTAAAAATACAATTATCATATTTTTACTGGCAAATGAGGTTCCCATAGAATACGAAAGTTGTGCTGTACTGCTATGCTGCCGCGTTCATGCTCCCTGCCGTCACCAACCCGCGCTTACCAGCGCCGGTGGAGTACGCTCGAATAACCCGCGCGGCGTTGGGGAGCCTCTCATCCAGCAGTGGATTGACAGAGAGAGCTGTACAAGTACATGGTGGTGGTATACACGGTGGGGGTGTCAGCTTGTGGATAGCTCACGTGGCACCACCCCCCCTTGCCCACCACCGCACCCAACCCACGCCCGCTCCCCTCCTCCGTGACTCCCAAATCCATTTTCGAAGACGTCGCTCGCCACTGATGCGAGCCGTGAATGGAACTCAGACTGTTGAGTTTATGGCGCGGCGCGCTAACCACTGCACGACCGCCCGACTGCTCCGCACACGCACACGGACGCACACGGTTCACGCAACATGACGTCACTCGGATTGTCGTCTTCGGTCAACGTTTTCTCCACGTGCTTCGCTTCCGTCACCGCACGCCCAACCGACTCAACCGTCGTGTGCCAATTTATTTGCGCCGGTCAGGACCATTGCCTGAAACGTCACCTATTGCAGTATGCATATGTTTTGTAACGTAGTGTTAGTTCATCACGTAGTGGGCTTTCGCAACCAATATCATCCATAGTACAGGTTTTTTGGGTTAGATCGCGTAAATATAAATGTGTCGTTAAACCCGACACTACCCTACACAGCCAATGAGTAAGGTTTGTCACATAAACAGAACATGTCAATTCGTCACTAGTACAGCACACCGGTGTGTTGGAGAGCAAAGCCACAACAT